CCGCTGTTTAAATGGAGGCCCTCTAAACAGCCCTGTCTGAGGAATTTACAGCCCTGGCCCCGTCCAGGAGAGAGAGAGGGAGAGGGCAGCAGGGAGGGAGGCACACTGAAGCCTTGTCCCGACACAGCCAAGATGGGAATGAACAGCTTCGGGCAAGGTGTGTGTGTGTGTTTGTGCGTGTGCGTGTGTGGTTCTCCTCAACCTCTGCGTGTGTTCGCTTGCGCCTTGCACACTGCTTGTTGTGCTGGTGTTCATGGGTGTATGTCCAAAGATGAATGAGCGAGTGGTTATAGGAGGTCTCTCCAGCTCTGTAGGATCTCTGTAATTTCACATAATCACTTCCATGTGGACCAGCCCAAAGGTGCACACACTCCCCCAAGAAAAACGTTTTCGTGCTGGGCTACGCTATTGTAGGATAGGTACGGTGAGAGCGAAATAGAGGCGGCACCGCAAAAGGGGCGGGAGTGAAAGCGCCCCACCACACACAGCAGGTGGCGCTATTTCAGTCCAGTATGTGTTTTCATGCAGATCAATGATCAATTAGAAGTCTCCCTTGTCACATCAAAACTGAAATGTACACCTAATTCATTAGTTTTCAAATGTAAACTTTTGTTTTTTCCAAAAAAAAAAAAAAGTGTGATAAAAGTGGTCGCAATGTTACAAGACTACTACTACGACTGTAAGTAGTAATATGAGGATTAAATCTGAATTTTTCAAGGTGAAATAAGATCTGAAGTATTACTTTTAATAATATGATTATATTCATAACAATATTTTGTTCGCAATCATTTCAGCTCATCGGCAAGCTTAGCAGAAGCCTGATGACGGTCCGGATCAATTGAATCGAGTGTGTTGGAAGACGAAAGCGTTTAAAAACAGGCTGGATTGGGGCTTTCGAGGACGGGAATTGGGCACCCCCGATTTTCTGTATGTCCAAATCCAACTGTGAGGCGACGGGTGGGGGGCATTTGTGACATGTGGCCCCATTTTATGGGCTTTTCCCTCCGCACCAAACTCCTCCAAGCACTCTATCACGGGCCTTGCGTTGAGTCTTGAGCGATTACATTCATGGGAACTATTTAAGGTCGATTGATGCATTAATAATTTCATAGTTTAAAAAAAAAAGTGTGTCCCAAGACATTTGTAAAGCTGGTCTCAAAACTGAATATGAGTTGTTGTTGTTTCTTCCAACGTGAGAAATGCAATTGTCACCATTTTTAAAAACATTTGCAGCGAGGGGGGAGATGATGGCGAAGAATTTCTTTGGAGAAAGGGTTGCTTTCAGTTGTTTTCTTGCGTCTCGAAGTTTATCACGTCACGAGGCTGACAGTTGTGATGGTGAATTGCGCCATCTTCTGTTAAAATGTATTACTACAACAAGGAACTCAGAACCCGCATGTTTTTTCGTCACTCATCGAAGAAAAAAAAATCTGAACGTTAGGAGAACGAAAATCCGTTACAATATTGCAAGGAAAAAAAAGTATTCCATTTTTTTGATTGGGGATACTTTTTTTTTTTTTTTTTTTACAAATTGTGACTTTATAGATATAAAGTTGCCATATGATTTCTTCACTTGTCTTCACAACATTTTATTGAATTTTCTATCCTGTTAGTGTATAATGAAACAAGGCAGTCATATCCCTTCTTATTCAGCTTTGCAATGACTTCTCAGTCTCTGTTTGCGTTAACAGACTGTGCACAAAGTAGTAAGAAAACAATGTTGTCTACTCTCCACATGTTTGCCCGCAGCCGGAGGTTACGCTGACATTCGTTTCCGTATGTCTGGGACGAACAGAAGTCGGGTCAGAGGTCAGCTGTTTCACAGTCTCTCGCAAGATTGGTCGTGCCACTGTTGAAAGTTGAGTGCAGGCACGACGAGGACGACATGATGAAGTCGTTTTTTGTGTTTCTAACGATTTTTTATTTCATTGCGAGCTACGTTCTGCAGAAAGCCTTGTAGTGCGGGTGAATAGACGATAGAGGGCAGTGCAGCTCAATTGTACAGTCAGCCATTTTGGTTTGAAGCAGTCATTTCTCAGTCATTAGCGCTCACCAGAAGGTTTGGGGAAAAAATCCGCTCCTGACACTAGTTCGACCGCTCAACACAAAACTGGGTAAATCATAACAGGATGCATGAAAAAGTCTAAAGGAACCATGCACATTGAAGAGGTAACCAGACACATTGGCTTGAAGCAGTGATTTGGGGCAAATTCCAAATCTTGTACTTTGACAGATTCCGATTTCAGGGAATTCATCCAAATTGAAAGCAGGTGTTCTTGACAGAAAGGTTAAATCGTACAGCTTTCTTGCCAGTGGCTTCAAACTGATCATTTTAAGGATTCCCCGTGAAGAAGGTGGTGTGAGAGCCTGTTCATGGCTGCGCTCTTACTTTTGATCACACCCCAATAAGTAACCGTGAAAGCAGGAAATAAACCGCTGCGTTTCAAGAACGAGCGTTTTACACGCCATGAAATGGTCGACTGCTTGAGAGTAAAACTGCCCACGTTGTTTCTGGACTTTGCAGCAACCACTTCCTCAATGAGAAATGCAGATAAGAAATGAGATAGTCATCTTGTTCCTTGCACGCAGTGACTACACGCAGTTTTGCATTTACTACAACTGCACGCAAAATGTATTTTCTCAAATTCAAATGTCATATTAAAAGAAGCTCCCCACTTCTGTTTCCAGAGACATTTTTTTTTCTTGCCTCTTCCGTGTCAATCAGCAGGCCCCATCTGGACCCGTGTTCATGTTGACACTGGAGCAGCCGTGGTGGGATAATTGCAAATCACAGCGGTTGTTTTCCCAGGGACAAGTGAGAGACCGCCCGCATGCATTCCATCAGGCCCATCGAGGAGGGGGACCACTTGGCGGAGGTGGTGGGAGAGGCTCCAGACTCTGTTGTGTCTGGTCAGAGGTGATGCAACCCCCCCCAGCGGAACCCCGTCACGCAAACGTCAACTACAGATTTGAAGCCACTTTTTTTTTTCCCAGGGGAAATAACGCAAAACCAATTCTTGGGTTTGAGGATCAAAAAAGTTATTTGCTATCACAGTATGTGGAAAGTGCCACACAGTAGAGATAAAAGTTGCTTACTCACTAACCGCTATTAATATGAACGAAAGAGACATTATTATAAAGCTGCTTTTTTTTTCAAGAATCACAATTTATTTGGACTAAAATCTCAGAAGGTGGCAAAATAAAGGATTAAAATATATATATATGAAGAATCATAGTTGTAATTTAAAAAGTCATATTACAAAAACAAAGATTTTTTTTTTTTTTTTTTAACAAAAACATAATCGTCATTGCTGAGATGCATGAACAGCCTCTTTGTATTTTCCACCATTTTTGGTCAATGTTTGATTTGAGTCCCGTGCGGTCTCTGTGAGATCACTGGTGTGGAATTTTGAGCACGGGAGGACAGATTCCTGAGTGCGATGTCCATAAAAGCCAGTTGAGTTGCCACCTCAAGTGCAGATGTTCTCCACGGTGGGAGGAAAGGAAACACCTCCCCCAAGGCATCTGCTCCAGCATGTGGATGATGCCGTTATAAAACAAGATGTCACATCTCTCGCTCTTAAGAGGCAGATGTCCACATACTTCAGAATTTATGAGTCTTTCACAGCTTTTACATTCCACAGGTGGGTGATGATTCTAACACACCCAACAAGCCACCAACACACTTTTCTGCTTGATAAAGTGAGCCACAGCAAATGAGTGAAACAAACAAGCATAATGAGACCTTTGCCTGGCCGGCTCTAGATAAATCTCCACCTCTTGTTTATATGCTGAAAGGGCTTTTGAGTGCAGATAAGGTGTTTGCAGCGTGCAGGTTGGTGGTTGCGCCCCTGGTTGGAGGGTGGAGTCAGTAAGGAGGGTATGAGGAGCGACTGTGAGCCGGCTTAGTTTTGTCACACGTCGACCTCGAGAAGACAGGAAGTCAACTACCGGGCTGGGGAAATGAGAATTTAAATTCAAGCAGACCACAAGAGGAAGCAGTCATCATGAGCGTGGACGCGGGAGGACAGCGGCGCTATGTGTCCACCTTCAGGATGCAAATCAAGTCTGGGAATGTACCGAGAAGCAACGATAGAGTGACGGCAGATGCGGGTGAGGACGCTGCTTGATTGTTTTCTTGGAGGAAAGGCCTTGAAATAAGTGTGAGCATATTGGTACTTCGCCTCAATGACATCATGGCTTTGAGGGAGCAGCAAAATGAACTCAGAGGTTGACAGATGTATCGTCAGCTCATAGGATGATGACATTAAATTGATCGTACAGCAATGAAATGTGACCTATCATTTCCAAGTACTCATACTTCAGGTTTTCTGCAGACTTAAAACTCAGTAAGTGGAATATTTTACACAGGACAAGTCAGTCTCCAGACTTAATCCCAATAGAGCAAGCATTTTACCTGCCAAAAAGGAGAAGTATGTGGACACTATGAGCACCAGATGTCACAGTTTTTTTTTTTTTTGCTTTCTATATTATATTTAATACAGAGCAGCGGGGACAATAAGTGTAAGGTATTAGACAGGCCAAGTTAGTCCTCTGTTAAACCCTTCTGAGCAAGCAATTTACCTGCTAAAGAGAAGTCTGGGGACCCATACTCTGCCATTTTGGGCAACAAACTGAGACGTTTTCTGGTTTTACTTTATTATTATTTTTTTTAAATATGTATTAAATACAGAGGTTTTCGATAGTCAAATCAATCGACAGACTCAAACCCTATAGAGCACCCCAGTGGACACCTCTTATGTATTATGGGCAGCAGATGGCACTGTTTTTCTTTCCCTTCCCCATCTTTCATATTTAATACAGAGTAGTGATCCAACAGTTGTATGAATAATGAGCATTTGTTTCACAATGTAACATTTTGGCCACCCCACGCCTTCATGACCTTACACATTCCCGTTCCGTGTGTGTTTCCTCGACACGTCTCTGCACATATCTTCCCTAAAAGTGCTCTTAGTAGTGTTATTTTTGTTCAAAGCAGCGACAAGTTGAGTCAAAGTGCTCCCTTCAGCCTTGAAAGTGATATAGTCCCGATGTCAACGAAGCGTCAAAGACGCTGCCGACAAACCCCTCGCAACTATGCTGAAAAGGTCAACGCATAACACGAGTGTTATGTGTTGACATCGCTTATTGTTGACGGTTGATTCGGCGTTTCTTGCAGCTAAATAGCTGGGCGTGCGGTGTCCTGTAAATGGTTTATCGATGGTTAATAATTAGTTTCTGTTAAAAAGCAGGAATGACTCATTTGATTAAAAAAAAAAAAAATGGTGAGGTGCCGCTTGCCAAATAGTGAGCTCACATGAAATAGTGCTGCTTTTCCCTAGAGCTCGCCATAGAATGGAGTAAACGGTGACTTTAACTTAAATTTCACGTGTTGAACTTCCTAAATAATAGCGAGCCTCGGTTTGAGGTTTTACCGATGTGCTTTAACACGGTACAGCACGAGGCAACTATTTCGCATAATCTGCAGGTATGTACAGTAAACGGTTATATTGACATCCTCTGCTTTGCGTCCTGTCCAGAAGTCCCTCCCCCTCGCCAGCGCACCGACCCGCCTGTCTTCATGCAGCCGCTGCAGGACTGCTACGTGGATGAGGGTGAGGATATCACCCTCGGTGCCGTCCTCTCCGGGACTCGACCCGTCAAAGTCACATGGTTGCACAACGGTGAGGATTGACACAAAGCGATGGCTGCCAAAAAACGGAAATAGATAGGCGCGATAAAAAGTAATCCATCAAAGTATTGGTCTTAAAAAACAAAACAGAACTTTTACCGCAGTCGACTTGGCCTCCATCATCTCAATGTGTTCAAAATGATCAGGTTTCACGCTTGGCTGTTGAAAAATGATTCCAAAATATTGGCGGGAGAGGGAATCGAAACAGATACTAAATCCGCTTTCAAGTCTGGAGAAGCCATGGCTGAAAACGCAAAGGAAGTCAACGCAGATATGGTCAAAAGACCCGATAAAGAGTCGTTGACGATTCAGAAGGGGCTCGGTCGTGTAATGCTCGCGCCATTGTTGTCCCAAAATGCACAACAGAGCCAATGGGGACAGGCAAACATGCTAAGGCAGAACTCGCGGTAGCTGGCAGAAACCTGAGGGGATTTCCCAGGAGAACGGATGGGCAGAAAGGGCAGAAACACGTGATCAATTCATAGAAAAGCAATCGGTTATTAATAGGCTTCTTCCCTCACCATAAAGAAACATGGACTCCTGCTTCCGAACATTTGACCATCCTTCGCTCGTTCCTAAATGGCAGGTGAGGTAGCCCGTTTCGGAATCCCCACACTGGACGGTGACAACGTAAGCTTGGTTGTGCGCGAGTGCCTGCCAGAGGATGCTGGCGCGTACACCTGCGTGGCGGAAAACACGGCAGGGAAGACTTCTTGCTGTGCCGCCGTGTTTGTTACAGGTGAGGACCAATGAGGAAGCATCCCGATATGAACAGCGTTGTTGTCATCTATTGTACAGTACTTGTTGTCTTGTCAAATTATTCAACTCTTATCTTATATGACCGCTTTCTGTCAACAGACTTTGAAACTATTTGTAGCATGCGGAGTCGAGCTCATGTAAATAAGAGCATTATGGGAAGTGGGAAGCCGCTTCAGCCTCCTCGGGAGGGTCAGCACAACTCCAGAGGATCCACTGGCACCTCACCGAACAGCTCTGATCCGCAGAGTCCAGTCTCTTCGTCACGAGGTCACGATTTTATGGGGTTGTTGATAATTCAGTCCGCAAAGCCGGTTCAGCTGAACAACCTTCACTTTGGTTGTCATGCCTACCAAGATGGGACCCACAAAAAAGTCCTGGGACGAGATGCCAAAAAAGAAACAGGAAGTCTGCTATTTTGGTTTGAAGAGATTGACTTGCACCCTCTAGAATGATTTTTTTTTTTTAATTCAGGCCTTCAGGGCGGTCTCATTGGACAAGAGTTTTGGTATGCATATCTATTATGAGCAGAGCTGCAAAAAAAAAAAAAAAAAAAAACCTCATTCCCCAAAGACAGAAAAAAATCTTAGCTCAAACGTATTGGCTTGGGGGTGGGGGGGGCTCTCCAGAATTTTTTGGGGGGGACATTCAGCCTTTGAAGGCAGTTTTACTTTGCAACATGAACATTGTTTTACATATCTGTTCAGGGAGACCCACAAAAAAAGTCTCAACACCATTTCACAACACAATTTTCCTCCATAATGATCTCTGGATTTTCTTGAATACTAAGCCCTTGAAGGCAGTTATTAGCTGCATGAAACTTTGTTTGATTTTTCTATTTTTAGTAAACCCATGGGGGGAAAAAAGTCTCAAAAAGACAGTCTATTTGCATAGAAGCAAATATTTTGACTCAATGGCACCCTCTGGAAGGTTTTTTTTTTTTTAGCTCCCAAGAGTTGTTTTGCTGAACAGCATATAATTTACGAAGGCATGACGAGACCCCAACAAAAATAACCCAATGAGGATCATTTTGACCATTTCCAGGGGTCCTCCAAAAATGGACTCCTTGACACTTGAGCAAATGTCTTGTGGGAGCAAAAACAGGAAACGGCATCATCTCCGGTGCTTGTGTGAGCGCCACACAATGCAGAGATGTCAAGGAACGAAAGATTACAAGTCCCATATAGGGAAGTCAACGCGACTATGCCACACCTCCACCATCCCTTCTTTTCAAAAAGCATCTTGCCTTTCCCTTGCAGAGGTCATTCCGAAGAAAAGAGCCAACTCAGGAACACGTAAGATTGTTATTCATTGCTTTCTACTCCTTCTGCTATGACTTGTTGTGCTTCCTTGTACTCAATATGCGCAACGAATTTTATTCATGGGTGTGTACGGTAATAAATGCATAAAAGCCTCGGGGCGCTGACCGCGTCAACAAGAGGATGGTTGTTGAACCACACAAATATCTTTATAAAATAAAAATGTAAGAGCTACAGAGTTGACAAGCAACTTATATTGATTATTGTCCCAGTAGTACCTGTTTTGTGTGTTCTGATAAAAAAAAAAAATTTATCTACCTGACACATCTGTCACTCGCCCGGGCAGGTCCAATGTTGCACTTGGAGAACCCGCCTCACTTCGTGGAGGCCAGGGCGGGACACCCGGCACGCGTCACATGTGGATTTACCGGCAGCCCCCCTGTGGTGTCCTGCTGGATCCGGAACAAGGAGCAGGTGCTGTGACGTTATGGTCGTGCTGCATGAACGGCAACCGGTGGATCCGATTTTATTGTCCTTCCTGCAATCACATAGAACAGCATTTAATTGTTCTGCATAGATGAACAAAAGATATATTCATAATCAAGTTCAGACAATGAAGTATAACTGGGTAACTTCCGGCTGCAACCCCGATGACCTCTCGTGGAATGTGAGCGATGTATGCATGTATTGACGATTGCGCATGTTGTTTGTTTTGGGTGACTATCTCGCAGATAGTGGACAGTCCTGAAGTTTGGACAGAGAACTCGGACCAGAGCAGCACGTTGGTCTTGGCCGAGGCCGGAGCACAGCACACGGGCCGCTACACTGTCGTGGTCAAGGACCGTAAGAGCTCGGCCCAGCACACACTCACACTCTCCGTCATAGGTAAGGATGCACACATGCACAAAAAACAAAACACCCACATCGCAAAAAGTGCAGCAATGTCAGTGAATGTCCTGCTCACCAGACAGGCCGCAGCCTCCCGCCTCCTGTCCTCTGGTCTCCCTGGTGTCCCCCGGGAGTTTCGTGCTGTCCTGGTCAGGGCCCTGCTACGACGGGGGGAGTGCCGTGCTGGGCTACGTTGTGGAGGTCCGACCCGAGGGCCGGGAATGGAGTGAGCTCACAGCCCAGTGTACGAGCACGTCGTACCGGGTGTGCAGCGGCCTGCAGCCCGGGGAGGAGTACTGCTTCCGAGTTAGGGCCTACAACACAGTGGGGGTCAGTGAGCCCGGACCAGCATCGCCTGGGGTCAGCATGGACCATAAGGGTGAGCGCTTTTATATAAATGTATGCTTATGATTGTTTGTATTCTCGTTTTTCTCAAGTCGCTTTGGTTCATTTCTCTGATCAGAATTGAAACTTGCAAAACAGCAAGTGCGTTTCTCCAAATAAATCGTACAAATAGCAAACCGCCATCATTCCAGATTCTGAGGAAGCACATGAGGAAGTGGAGAGCCCCGAGGCCTTCGTTTCTATCGATTGCACGCACAAAGTCACAGATCACTACGATGTTCAGGAGAAGCTTGGCATGTGAGTTTTTTTTTTTTTTTTTTTTTGGTGCGTATGCGGGCTCATTTTAAGCCAAGGGTAGAAATGCGGAGGCATAGTTCTACCCTTTTTTTCCTTTTGCTACAGTGTACACTTGCGGACAAAAGTACTGAGACACCTCATGATCAATTATTAAGCAGTTCGTACTGGAACTGTTTACAGTGACCCCGCACTATACAAAACTCTGTGATTAATTGACCCCATCTTGTCAAGGACACATGTCCCTGAATACTTTTGTCCATTGTCCACTTCGCCAGGGGTAAGTTTGGCCTGGTGTTCAAGCTGAAGCATCGAATGAGCGGCCGTGTGTGCGCCGGAAAGTTTTACAAAGGCCGACGCAACAAAGAGAGGGAGGCGGCCCGCAACGAGATCGAGCTGATGAACAAGCTCCACCATCCTAAGTTGGTCCGCTGCCTGGCTGCCTATGACCACAAGCCCGACATAGTCATGGTCATGGAGTTGTAAGTACAGTTGCACTACTTTTATACACATCTTTGACCGCTTCATTAGGTTCACCGGCACGAATTAAAGGTCAGGGGTGACTTAAACTCGGCCAACCATCTTTTGAGTAATACTTCGGGCTAATTTTTTTGAATGAATCATGAGAAGTGTGTTCAGATGTCGATGAATTATCCATCCATCCATTTTCTGATCCGCTTATCCTCACGAGGGTCGCAGGCGTGCTGGAGCCTATCCCAGCTGTCTTCGGGCATTCGGCGGCGTACACCCTGAACTGGTTGCCAGCCAATCGCAGGGCACACGAACAACCATTCGCACTCACACTTCACACTCACACCTCGGGATAATTTGGAGTGCCCAATCAACCTGCCATGCATGTTTTTGGAATGTGGGAGGAAACCGGAGTACCCGGATAAAACCCACACAGGCACGGGGAGAACATGCAAACTCCACACAGGAAGGCCGGAGCCGGAATCAAACCCTGCACCTCTGCACTGTGAGGCCGACGTGCTAACCAGTTGAACACCGTGCCGCCATTCAATAAATTTTATTTCAATTAATTTTTTAATGAACGGTTGAAAAGCAAATGAAGAAACATTTGGGGCTCCTTCATTTACACCCTCAAAGCATGCACAATGAAACAGTGATTGTGTGCAGCATCGCAGGCGGGGAACTCTTCGAGCGCATTGTGGACGACAACTTCGAGCACACGGAGCCGGCCAGCGTGCGCTACATGCAGCAAATCCTGCAGGGCGTCTCCTTTATGCATCGGCAGCTCATCGTCCACTTGGACCTCAAACCTGAGAACATCGTGTGTGTCGACACCAGCGGCACCGCTGTCAAGATCATTGACTTCGGATTAGCTACCCAACTCGGTATGTTGGTTCACGCCATCAGCTGCACCTGAGGAGACATACTGGGGCTTTTTCTCGAAGTCAATTCCTTTTTGTTAGTCACGCCAGGGCTCAATCCCAATCCCACTGGAATTGTGAAAATACTTTTTTTAAGGCTGTCAACCAAGTTGGAAAGTTGAATTTATTTTACTTAAGTCGACTAATCATATGTGTTTGGCATTTTGTTTTCAAATTGGCCAATTTACAGAGGATTTCCATTAGCTCATCTGCTGCCGATAATCGACTTTGATTGCACTTTCATTCTACGACTGTCGACTGCAAAAAATATTTAGTCGTTCAGTCCCTGAACCATACTCGGTTTTGGGGTTCTGTCTCGGGCAAATTTCCCCACCCCTTTGTTCTGCGAGGCCAATGAGCTTTGGTTACCATACGATAGGGGGAAAGTAGCCCTATGAAAGGTAGCTCCTGAAGATTTACTTGGTTAATTTCACACTAGATGGGAAGGCAGGCACTCCGAAGATGAAGTGAATAGCTAAAATTTCCATGATATGTTGGTTTTTTTAATATTTGACAGATGGCAAGACTGATCTGCGGGTGATGCAGGGGACCCCGGAGTTTGTGGCCCCTGAGGTGATCAACTACGAGCCTGTTTGCTTGGCCACAGATATGTGGAGCATCGGTGTCATCTGCTACATATTGTAAGTGGGCAGCATTTGGCCGTGACCCCGTTCCGTTCTCACTCTTAGATGCAAAGCTCAACACGAGAAGTTGAGTGATAGTGGGCGACCTTTGGACACATACAGGATGTCGCATTCCTGCACCGTCTTAGAGCAAGGCCAAAACAGATTATTGTACAAGTACAATGGATCGATTTTATTTTCATCGATGATTTGAAAGAAAAAAAATTATGTAAGAAAACAAAGGGGAAATATATGGTCGAGATGATTTTATTCTTCTTTATTTTGGTCAAATATGATATGAATATTACATTTGTATTTTCTAGACTTCATAAATGATCTATTTTAAAACAGTGAAAATATGGATTAGGTGATTTTTTTTCCCCAAATAGAAATTGGCCAATGAAACAAGGCATAATTACATATGAATTTAAATTTCCCTATTTTTCCTCTTATTTTCCCCTTGTTTTTCTGTTATTTTTCCTCGCTTCTTTTTGTTTTTACATTTTTCTTTGTCACTTATTTCTTTTCGTGTTCTTTTACCGTTGTGTTTTCCCCCTTTCTTTTTGTTGTTTTTATTTATTTTATCATTTTCTCCACCTTGTTTAATTTCTTTTTTCTTTCTCATTGTTTTTATCAGTTTTTTTTTGTTCTCTTTCTTCCTTTTCATTTCAGTGTTGTTTCTTTTAATTGTTCCTTTCTCTTTTTCCCCTTTCTAAAATACAACAGCCTTTTCTGCATCTTACCTGCACGATTAACTTCACAAAACCAGCCTAGACTTGTTATTGCCACCAAGTGGACACATGATAAATTTGCATTTACACATTCCTCTGCCTGTCTCTCCATGCTGTGTACTGTATTTGCAGACTAAGCGGCGAGTCGCCCTTCCAGGGAAGCAGCGACGCTGACACGCTGGCCTTGGTAACGGCGGCCCACTGGGAGTTTGACGAGGAGAGCTTTGAGGACATAACTGACCAGGCCAAACTTTTCATCAGCTCCTTGCTTGAGAAAGATCCCAGGTGATCTCCAGACACTTTACTTGGTGCATCCTATAGTGTGTAGGTGTACCTAACAGTGCAGTCTTTTCCTGTGTCCGTCTCCTAGACAACGCATGTCCTGCGAAGATGCCCTGGCTCACGCGTGGATGGCGGCGTTCGACTCGGGAACCCAGGCCTCCACCAAGAGTCTTCCCAAGGAGAAGATGAAGCGCTTTCTTGCCAGGCAGAAATGGAAGGTAAACGACAAATGTTATTATGGGAGACATTCATTTTATTATTAATGTGTATTTCGCGGCTTCGTGCATATGATGCAAACCTATCTGCGTTTGTTCAACACCATAGTATCTGTGACGTTGAAGGCATGTGTGGAAGTCACCGAGTGAGAATGTAGGGTCAGCTGTTAATTGGCTGAACCGTTAGCCAACTTGTGTATTGAGGGACGCTGTCCGTTGAGGCAATCAACAGGTTGTCAAAGAAGGCACTTGTGTATACTGTATGTGTATGTTGTTCAATATAGTGATTGAAAGTGCACTGTGTCGATCCTTGACCACCCGCTCAGGGATTACAATTTGTTGTAACTAATCGCATAGGCTACATTAAATTAGCTAATGATATTTACATTACCATGTCATCATTTTACTTGTGCTCAACAGAAAGCAGGCAAGGCCATGCTGGCGTTGAAGAGAATGGCTTTACTAAGCAAAGGGGACAGCACTTGTTCTCCCACCAGCGCCCCAGAAGGTGACGGATGATCTGGATAGCTCAATATTTATTTTCTCATCAGCTGTTTCACATCAATTCTTCCTTCTTTCCTTCCTGGCTCAGAATGCCCCATGACACCAGAGACGGAAGACGCCCTGCTCTCATTAGAGCGCAAGATGCAGGGACCCCCATGCTTCACCAAGACCCTGCAGGACCAGACAGTGTTCATAGGGGCCAGTGCTCACCTCGACTGTCACCTCATGGGTAAGCGCTACAGTAATGCTTTAAAAGCCGTCTTTTCGCGTAAATGTGAACAAACAAATGTGACAAAACTGTCTTTGATGATTGCAAAAAATATGCGACTTGGTTGGAAGTTAGCCTTTGCTGTACCTGAAAACAGGTATGTTAGTTTTGTGATTGTGAAAACATGTACCTCAGTCGGAAATTTTGTCCTGCCGGAAGGTGAAAAATAACCGCTTTTGGTCAGCTTTTTCGATGCAATTGACGATGGGCAACTTAGAGTGTAGTCCAGCTAGCTACTTAGCATCGCTAGTCAATTATTTTAAAAAATATAATATATATAGCGAGGATTAAACATAAATAATATGGCTAAAGCAGAAATTTAATTCGAAAGCAACGGCACGAGAATAAAATGGTTAAGTTATCCTTGAGTCACAAGCAACTCGCTAGCTCGCAATGTTAGAATTATCACAAGTGTACCAAAAAAACGCAGTTAACAGTTTGTTGTCAGCTAGCTGATACAAAAATACCAAATCGGAATTGTACAGGAAAGTTACGTTACTATTTGTGTTGGGTTATGAGCTAAATCATTGATTAAATAAACTCACAATTTGTTCTTGCCTATCACTCCTAACTAGTAAATAGTGCTTGTAAATGATGATGATGAATGGCAGACCCATACCTGTAATTGACTCACGTGTGTTGTTTCAATTGGACGAGTTTTATTATCTTCGTTGAATTTAGGATATCCCGACCCAGATGTGGTTTGGCTGTGCGGAGAGGAACCCGTGGAGGAGTCTCCAACCGTCCGGATTGAGTATGAGGACGATGGCCGCTGCACGCTAATCCTCGCCGAAACGAGCCTACAAGATTCCAATATTTACACCTGCAAAGCCACCAATGACCACGGAGAGACCTCTTGCTCGGCGTCGCTCGTTGTCCGAGATTCAGACTAGATTTTGTTTTATACAGTCCACATCCCTCATGCGACAGCATCTTTTTAAATATACTGCTGAAACATTTTTAAAAAGCTTTTTAATAGAAATGAAATTGCTGAAGAAATTACAGTTGTAGAATTTTGTTCGGAAATTAAACTACATTCTTACTTAAACGACATTTTTACGGACGAACTTAAGTTTTATTTCAATAATTGGCCCTGCGATTGGCTGGCAACCGGTTCAGGGTGTCCCCCCACCTACTGCCCGAAGACAGCTTGGATAGGCTCCAGCACCCCCTGTGAGGACAAAGCGGATCTGAAAATGGATGGATGGGTGGATTGAAATAATTTTAAACAAATAAGCAGCAAGATAAGTCATTTTAAAAGATTTTAATTTAAAAAAAAAGTAGAAGTGAACAAATAAAAACCATCAGAAATAAAATATGCACAAACAAGCACAAACGAGCCAAGATAAATAAAATAGTGATGAATAAATACACAATTATTCAACATGAAACTACTGTATAGCTTTGTGTGTGTATGTGTGTGTGTGTTAGCGGGGTCACGTAAACCGCCGCCTCAGGGTCGCCTCCTGCTGGTGTCCGAAGAGCATGGCTGCACGTGACTCGAAGGCGCCGACCATTTGCTTGACCCCCCCACCTACTGCCCGAAGACAGCTTGGATAGGCTCCAGCACCCCCTGTGAGGACAAAGCGGATCTGAAAATGGATGGATGGGTGGATTGAAATAATTTTAAACAAATAAGCAGCAAGATAAGTCATTTTAAAAGATTTTAATTTAAAAAAAAAGTAGAAGTGAACAAATAAAAACCATCAGAAATAAAATATGCACAAACAAGCACAAACGAGCCAAGATAAATAAAATAGTGATGAATAAATACACAATTATTCAACATGAAACTACTGTATAGCTTTGTGTGTGTATGTGTGTGTGTGTTAGCGGGGTCACGTAAACCGCCGCCTCAGGGTCGCCTCCTGCTGGTGTCCGAAGAGCATGGCTGCACGTGACTCGAAGGCGCCGACCATTTGCTTGACCACCTCGTCAAAGAAGAGGCTGGCCAGCCGAGAATGAAGCAGTGACTTGAGCTCAAAAGACACCTGTAGCATGAAGGCAGGGCCACTGATGTTAGCTAATAATTTTTTTTTCACCCAAGATGCCACTTCACTGAAAGGCAACCACTTCCAGGATGCACATGTAAAGTTATTTTCAGCAGGCAAGGACAGCAGCTAATCGCTGCTAAATTTAGAAGGACAACGGAAACGCTCCTGTTCAGGCATCCCTTGATAAAAACACTCAGTCGAGGGAAGACCTCCACCAAGGCCGAACAATGAAATGATCATATGTGAATAGACTTACATAGAAATGCACTTTGCAAGAGTCCGGTATGTCTTCGGGTCCTGGCTCAAACCTCCAGATTGTCTCAAGATGGTTGAAGAGGGACCCGTCGGTACACAAGGCCTGTTGGATAACAAAGACCCATTCAAGGGATGTTTCTCAACAGTTGTGGAAAGTATTAAGATGTCATATTCTCACAAAAGAGCATTTAAATGAACAATGTTATTAAGGGGAAATGCAATATTTTTGCAACTCACTCTGACTTGTTGGTTGGGGACAACGGTGACAACGGAGGTGTAACGCTCCAGCACAGGCGGGAATCCGATCTCCAGCTCGGCTCGGACGGCGCCGCCCTGGCCTCTGATAATGCGAGAGCTCTTGCACCAGGGCACAAAGTGAGGGTACCGCTCCACGTTGGACACCACATCGAACATTTGCTCCGGCGTGTACCTGGAAACACAACAATGCTCACAATTAGAGTTCTCCAAGATGATCACATCATTTTCAGCTGATTATTTCGGGTGGAAAAGATGAGATTTTTATTATTTTGTTGGTTTTTTAAAGGTCATAAACTGACATAAGGCAGGCTTTGCAGTCCTGAATTTGTGATTTGAATGTGGCTTCACTTCACTCTTCCATCGCCCCCAATGTCCCCGCACAAAAAAATATATATATTCCCCATCATCTCACTAACGAATGTCCACGGTTGCATGCTAAGGCAGCTAGATTGCTAGCATGACTTATTCACGATGGAATATTGCCAAAAATGAAATGTTATCGGTTTGTTTGCACGGTCACTTTATACTGCACCGCTAATACACTATAAAAGATTGTTCTTGTTTAGTTTAAAACTGTTGCACTACCATTACAGCCATAATAACGTATCATGTTCAAATGCCTTTATTCATTATTTTTTTTCTTCTCAACTCATTACATCTACTCAAAATCAAAAGACATGAGTGATTTTTTTTTTCTCTATACACAAGGCAACGGTGTTCATCTCAGAGCGAACCACGAGTCACTCACCCTAAGGTCCGGCTCTCGGCGTACTCGGTTCTGCGGCGAGCGCTGGGCGCAGCCAAGTTGATGAAGGTGCGATAGGGTGTGTCGATGGGGAAGGAGGCGTACTGAGGCAGGGTGGTCCTCCTTAACGTCAGGAACCCACCAGGAGAAACGTGTCTTGACAGAAAAGAGAATATTCCAATCAAAAGGTGGGTGTGCTATGCGATCAATTTGTATAGTACAGAGATGTCATTTTAAATTTTTGAAATTACAACTCCTGATGTGTGTCAGAAAACTCCCAGGATCGATGTCATATTTTAAATCCAAACGACACACTACAAATTTTCCTCTGCAAGTTAATCACACTGGAGCCGCCCCTGCCATCATGGACTCCTGTAGGGATTCTTCAGGGAGCCTCTCCAGTTCACAGCCATCATGTTGTCCACTTCTTCAAAATATGACCCCTTATTGACTCTCTTGAGTTTGGGAAAAATTATAAATGAAGTAATGAGGTTGAGCCAGCATGATTTTATCCTTGACTCATGATCTTTTGGGATGCTCATGCCATGGTGAAGCAGTTGCGAGTTGACCTGCCACAACTCTCGCCTCTTCTCGCACACTGGATGAAGCAAATGTCACAGGGCCTTTTTGTCAGACGTCCTTGTTTATTGTCTGATCCAGAAAATTCATATGTGACATCGGTCCTGGAACCTCACTGACAAACCTTTCTATTGTGATACGGTATCATAGAGTATATTATACTAAAGATATTTGTAAATGACATTGTTGTGGCGCAAGCAACATCAATCAAGAGAGCTGAAAAAAATACATAGCAACAATAAATGATCGAATTTGAGGATATTTCAGTCAAAACTACCATCGCTGTTCCTTTTTGTGTGCTCACCTGGCATTTCCTCGTTTGGAGTTTCCCCGAATAAACTTGTTCGAGTGGACTTTAAGTACATCCAAAAGAGTCCCGACGAGCCGTTGAGTTGACTTGTGGGACATTACCGTTGCCTATCGATTAAAAGAAAAAAAAATCAAACTATATCAGGTTTCCCCCAAGGTATTTTGGTCAACGTTCCCATCGCCAACCGGCTCTTTTTACAACTTCAGAATGGGACCGCCCTTCACTATCCTGACGTCATCCTGTCGTGGCCAATCACAGCGCGAGGCTGGTAGCTTTTCATATTTTTTTATTTGACTCCAAATGAATCATTAGATGACGAATAATGACGCAACAGTTTCATGAGCACTAGACGTCACAATCGTTTGATTTTTTTTTTAACTACTTCACACATGCATTATTCTGGTTTTAATTCATCAATAATTGTAGTAATTACATTACACTCTCCAACGAATACTAATAATAATTTACAATTATCACAGCTGAAAAGGTTGCATCTCAAAAATTGTGGAAAATATATATTATTGTGGTCATAAAAAAGAACCCAATTTAATTTTAATAATGTAACCGAATTGTGAAATCGGTGTTCTCACAAGACTTTAGGAAAAAAAGGTGTTTATTTTGGAGATTAATTTCCATCCCCAACCCCCCAAACTGTTGATAATCTTTGAAGAATTAAGTAAATGTTTGGATTATGTAGGTCATGTACTTAAAAAAAAAAAATTGAAAGAATTTTAAAAACGTGTTTTGATCAACTGACCAACAGTGTGGCTTTGAGGAAACGCATGACGGGAAGTTGTGTGTGTGCCGCGTGATAAAAGTGGACTTTGCTTCTACTGGGCTCAGCTACACTCAAGTATACTTCATAGCGAGGCATAATATATATATATATAAAAAAAAGAAAATACCACATAATCAAATAACTTTACTCAAAAACAAAAAGTACATTCAAATATTCAGCACACCAAAACTGATTTCTATACCTTTTCTAAATGTTATCATTGATTAGTATTTCCAAGAAAAAATGTAATGTTTACTATCCGCTATTGCCTTCGGGGAACTTGCTTTCAGGTTGCCCAACAACGGTGAGTCAACTTCATTTCCCCCAAATGCAAATTGACAAAATGAACAAAGCACAGAGGTCACTGCTCATCGGGCGAGAAGATGAGTTTGCTCATGGCGCTGATGTACCGCAGGCCGTCCGGCTGCGTCACCTTCAGCTCGGTCAGAGGGGGCACCGCCCCGCTGGTGAAGTATCTGAAGGCCGGGCTGGGTGACTGCATGGCATCCAAAAATACCTGGCGAAAAAAAGGGCTGAGTCACTGTTGATAGTGTTCAACAGACATTCGCAGCTCAAGAGTCATCTTTTTACATATCTAGACTTGCACGCCACCTAAAGGAGAGCCATCTGAGCGTGAATTGGTTGCAATCAATAATTTTTTTAACACTTTACCTTTACGATGTCCTCTGTGTCCTGCGCTGCGTTCTGGAAGACATAACTGCAATGATGCAGGTATCTCTCATACAGGCCCAACGTGCGCGCGTCCACATGCTGCAGGGACGGATCGCCAAGCTCCGCCTTCGTCAGGTTGACCAGGAAGTTGGTGTTAACAGGGCCGCACTCGATCAGGCTGACACTGAAGCATAGATGTTCATTAATCAGCTTCCTGAGGATGACGTAACGATTCAAGATGTTCTGGGGACTGACTAGATGTTGAAATGTTGCAGGAGAACGGCTAAACTCTCGCACGCGCCCTCGATGGCGAACTTGCTGGCGCAGTAGAGCACGTTGAAGGGCAGGCCTGTGAGACAAGACAGTGACCATTTGTTTATGAACTAGATAAGTGATTCAGAACAACTGATCCAGGAAATGATGACTTTTCAGCATAACGAAGCGCCTCAACTCACTTCAACATCATTCCTTGGTAGCAAGATCCTACACAATGGCGACAAAGCAACACGTTTGTCTAAACGAAGCTTCTGAACTCACTTTAACATAGTTCCTTGGCCCAAGAAGCTACAGGAATAATTTAAGTATGTGCTTCGAATCAATAAAGGTTTGAAAACACCAAACTAATTCAGACTGAGAGTCCGATTTGCGTGTTCTCACCGTGAAGGCCTCCAATGCTGCCTGTGACCAGGATACGACCATTACGCTGAGCCTTCATCCCGGGCAGGAAGGCCTTGATGGTCTGGATGGTGCCCAGAAGGTTGACTTCTAGAATTTGCTTCATGGAGTCCAGAGAGTGAGCCTCCAGTGGACCCATCAAACCCACACCGGCGTTACAGACTGAAAGAAACAATTAGATGAGTCACTTATTAAAAAAGACAGACTCAGGGAGCACTTCAGTCGACAGAAAAAGAAACACTTAATACAGATACACCATCACAGCTGCATATAAATAAACCATGAATAGTCAAAACAACAGCATAACGTTAAGGACGATGAATGCCGTCGTAGTCTGTTATTGACTTCAGATTCCGAATTCCTCGACTGTTTTGAACGGGGAGATTCCAGTGTAGCCACACCACCAAGAACGCACCGAGAATGTCCACTCGCTTCTCGGCAACCTTGTCCCTGGCGTCTAGGATAGACTGGCGGTCCGTGACGTCCATCTGAAGAACATCCAGCGTGTCCTTGTGCAGGCCTTTGACGCTCTCCAGGAGACGCTCCTTCTTGGCCAGGTTCCTCATGGTGGCGTATACTTGGAAACACAGGCAAAGAAGCGTTGATCGGATGATGCATGTTTGTGGAAGGAAGTCGGTACCAGAAGAAAACACATTCAAGCGAAGGAAGAACATCAAACTCTACACAGGAAGATCACAGTCGAGATATGCAGCCGGATTCTGAGATTCGAACTGTGAATATTAGAACTGCAAGGCAGACAGGCTAACCACTAGCGTACCGAGCTATCCCTACATTCCCTTGAAAGATAAATTGCCATTCACCTTTAAATGTTTGTTCCGGGTCCGAAGCCAACCGGACCGCCAGGCTGAGGCCGATGCCGGATGAACAGCCGGTGATCAACACCACTTTCTTGTCCATGCTGCCAACGTTATGAGAGACAAGTGAAGGTTGTCTTTCCCCATCTATCGTCCCCCCCCACCAAGGCCGCTTCATCCCCAAACATCTTCCCATTATCTGACACCTGCAGTCCTCCCATTACATTCCCACGTCCTTGTTGCCGGTGTGTTTTTCATGTTGAGTATGGGAAGTCCAGGACTTGATTTTGTGACTGTAAAGAACTGGGGGAGGCTAATAGCCGTGATGGTATCTTAAAGTCCAGAAGGGGGCAGCAGAATATCATGAAACATCCCCACAGTGAAAGGACGCTTCCTGTTGAGAGTTCCATTGAACAAAAAACAAGATAGGTCGAGTTGATGGGGGCCAAGGTAGTGTCAGAGAGTGATGCGGTTATTATTTTTGCTTTTGTTTTTGATAAACCATTGCAAAGTTCCATTTCTGAAACACTATTTCCAGCCTATCCAAGGCAAAGTTAATTGATTGGGGAATTTGATCGCTTTCAATTCATCCTGTTCGGGTTCGTGGGTAGCTGGAGTCTATTGCATCTGACCTGAGAGAATAGCAACTATTCATTCTCGCATTCACACCGTCACCGAGTGGGAACTGTTTTGAATTCTTGACAGGAAACAAAGATTACTTGTGTTGGATAGAGTAAATATCGAGGCGACTCCACATGGATGTTACATGTGCCTTACAGTTCTGAGTTTCTCGATTCAAATCTCAGTTTAAAAATATGCCCAGCAGCATTATCAGCGGATTAACACAAAGTTTTTATTGTTGTTGTTTTGTTTTGTTTTGTTTTGTTTTTTTGGACTGGTTTACAAACCAGAGATTAACATTCGTAATATTACCACTTAAAACAGTTGCACACAACATTCTCGGGGCAATACAGAAGAAGAAAAAGACCTCAAATGTGCTCCTTTATGTAAGAGCGTTTTTTTTTGGTAAGTACAAAGGAATTGCACATCCCTACGGTGCATTGTAGTTGACAACAAAAGCGCTCGACTGGTACAAACACACCAGAGGAGCAGTAATTGTTTTATGTTTTAATGGGTAACGCATGCCTCACATGCCTGCTTGACAGGAGGCGCGAACCAGTTCAAAAGAAAAACAGTCGGCATACCTGTCATAGCTGTTCGGTTTCACTAAATGATTAAGGGAAACTAAGGTGTCATTGACTTGTTTACCTGATGATTTTTTTTTTTTGTAACTAAAATTGGCACATCATGTGTTATGTTAAGCCTTGAGTCGCTTTTATTTTTCTTGACTTCATGCGGCATTGGCACGCCAACATGATGTGATGATACTTCTTTCAACTGATTTGTCGAAAAAAAAAAAGACTTAAGTGGAAAAAGTCAGTTTCAACATTCACTTTTAACAGTGAAGCCTGAACCATAGAATATTGAAACAATCACCCGGAGTTGATTACTACATTTCGTCAATTAAATCCCTCACGGCCTAGTAAGGGCCAAGTGGAGGTCTGGAAATACTCTATCAACACGTCCTGTAGAAGCGTTAAAACTTCTCAACTCCCGGGAAGTCATTCAGGAACTGTTTGTTAGGAATGTGAGGCATCAGGTTGGGGTTAAAACAGAAGCATTCGGAGTATTGAGGGAGTGACTTACGCATACCGACATCTACCCAGTGTCAGGCCATGCGCAGCGCCTCTGGAAGCCGGCGGGTCACGTTGGAGAGAAGTGCTATTTAAAGGCGGCCAAATGAAGTGAGCGCGTGGTGTGGCGGGACACAATGTGAGGTTTGTAATACTGCGGAGGCGCTTCCAAGTGGGAAGACGAGACAGGATGTCCGAGTGAAATGTCCAAGTTAAAGAGATGAAGATGTGTTGAGCCTAAGATAAGAAAAGATAAGAAAACCTTTATTTGTCTCACAATGGAGAAATTCCCAACATGTGGTTATCGAGATGAAGGGAGGCGGGGTAGTGAATATGACCATTATGAGGCGTGTTCTGTAATCGGAATTGAAGTGTGTCCTGAGTCCAAGACGCAACTAATGACAGCCTGTTAACTATCGTAGCTCCCACGTACCGTTTTAAGGTGCCTCCCTCTGCCCTGTAGATTCCTATTCTTTGCCCGTGCCCTCGGTGAATTGTACACAAAACAAACTCTGAATGAGAATCATGATAACGATAAAAGATATAGCGCAACAGCTCCGATCACAAGCTGCAATTGCAGACTGCTGAGCGCTAAAAACGTCCGGTGATGCAGGTCACGCGCCACCGTAGGTTAAAGATTTACTAGCTTTATTTTATTTTTTTAATACTTTTGGTGAAAATGAGAGCGATAGGATGATTAGGGTGCAGTGTACATTAACACAAAAAACATATCTTACTAACATGCACAAAGACACACAAATGGTTGTTTGTTTGTTTGTTTGTTTTTTTCTCCCCTACATCCCTCGCGATCGACTTGGGACCAGTCCGCGATCTACCGGTCGATCGCGATCGGCGTAATGGGCATCCTTGATCTATACCAAATCACATTCAAAGGCTGTTCAGTGACAGGTAAGACTGGAAACACCTAAGGTCATCTGCGCCAATCAGAAGCCTGAAGAAAACCATGTCCAGAAAAGCCGATCTTGGCTCTCTGCTCACCATGCATACCACCACCCACACTCTCGATTTCAACACTTTTAACCACCCCTTATTTTCAGTCAAGCTTCTATTCAGTTTTCTGCACCAGCCGACTGGAACATTCTCCAAAAATAAAACTTACCTTCATCCCAACGTCATCATTTAACCCTTTCAGGGACAGCGGTCACTAGAGTGGACAGCTTATCATGTTATCAGGTTACAGGGTGCATGAAAGGATTAAAAAGACGTGGTCGATGATACCAGAGCCCTCCCTTTACATATGGCTGAATTGATGTACTGCATAATTTACGCCGCATTGTATGTAGGTTTGACCCCGGAACAACAAATCAGCGTTTCCCATGAGTATTTATCGTGAGTTGGCAGAGTTTATGACCTCGTCTCGCCTTACGTCTCAACTCTATGTTCGGTTCGTGTTTTTGCTCCCTACAAGAGGCCAGAAATCCTGCAAAACCTGGAGTCTGTCCATATTTTTTTAACAGTCTTAACTCTGTTTTTACAGGTATCCCTCCAGGGATTTTTCTTTTTCACGACTGTACGCATGAGCCACCAGAGTTCCCTGCGGCTCCTGAGCCTCATTTCCAAAACAAACCGTCAGACTTTGAGTTTGAGGCTGCCCCTTCACGAGATGTTGATGGTAAAAATCGAAAATGGCCGCACCACTGCAAAAGGCATTAACAGATATGTTCCTGTGAGGATCGTGTGAGATCCCTCCCTCGTTGGTGAGTTGGTCTTCCACACACGGCATGTTTCATGAAGAAAATTGACTGAGGAGTCAACGGTTCAACGGCAGGGGCGCATTGGGCTTTGTCGCTTCCTGCTATAATCATCACTGGGTGAAACAGGAGAAGACTTGTGGAAAGTCTGAATGGACCCTGAACACGCAGAAAGTTCACGGTCAGCCTCTTTTTTTGGCTTCAAATCTCGAAAATCGGATTTCCTGAAACCTAAATGTTGACCGTTCCCCCAAAACGGGTTGCCAAATTCCCTTTTCCTTATATCTTCCCAGGCATTTTGATATATGGGTCGACATTTGAGGTTAGGGTTTTATTCAGTGGTCTCGACGTCATTTGGAACCCTCGGGGCGCTTCCTTTAACCTGCCGCATTCAGCATTCCACAGAACCAGTTTGTTTATAAATCCTACAAGCCCCGGGAAATAGAGTATATGAACAACATGGGAAGCATGCTCTTTTGTCTATTACATGAATACTCAAAAGTGTTTCCTGTTCCTGCTCCAGCAACCGGCCTTTGTGATGCTAACGCTCATTTAGCTTCAAAGGGAGCTGTTTTTTTTTTTTAAATACAAACAAATCAAGGAACCAACGTGGGTAGCATTAAGCTTTTCAGGGACAGCGGTCACTACAGTGGACAGTTTATCATGTTGTCAGGTTACAGGTTGTCATTATTGGGGCATGAAATGGTTAAATCCAATTGGCCTCTGTTCTGCGCTGCCATGTGAGTGGCCTGCTTGACACTTCAAATTCAAACTTTCAAAGGGAGTGCACAAAGAATGGCGTACTGTTTTTGGCCAGTTTCCATTTTTGGTCCTCTTTAGGAAGACTTTTAGCTCATGGATTCCTATTTTGAGGAAACTGAAGAGAGACATTGTGGTTGCAGACTCACAATTTAAGGCGACCTGGTTTGAGGAACTCCAGTTTTAGACCAAACAGGTCTGCGTTTTCAACCCGTGAAGTGGCAACTGGCACAAGGCAGACAATCATGCGCCTCACGAGGTGAAGCGAGGTGTGTTGTGGTGGCTCGGCTTGTGACTCAGTCGCGATGGCATTTCAACCAGTTTGCCAAGAAGAGAAGCCGGGTTGTTTTTCACTGGGAACTTATCAGATCTTTGCACTATTTTGCATTAGTTCTTTTTTTCTCCTGCCAAGTCCCCCACCATCCCCCCAAGATAGTCCTTCACACTTTACATTCTTGTCCTCTTGCACACGTTGAATCAGCATTACTCCACCCATCTCCCGGGCGGTTGCCCGGTTACTGTATGTTTACAACCGGCCAAACGAATACTTAAGTATGCAGATGCAGTATGCTCCTGAAAACAAGCCGACAATTGGCGGCATTTTTCGTTCACACGTGTTCCCAAATCTATTTCTAGATATGCAAAGACTCATCCTGTTTTCTCACTGGCACTCGAAAACCGACTTGATGAGCTAATGGAAGGCTCACAAAGTAGGTCAATGCTGACAAGGTGATCAACTGGATTGAGTCTAATGAGTCTCTTATATTTTTACTCTCCTACTGCCACGACGGGGTCCGTCTTCATGTCTGTTTTCATTGTGCAGTGTTGCTATGCGAGTGGTGTAGTGCTTAGTCTGGTCAAGCCGAGTTTATTTATAGATGTAGCCCTTCATCATAAAAGATTCTCGAAGAAATTCACAAACCATTGACATCCTTTGGTCTAAAACCTGGCAAGGAAAGGGAAGCAGTGGGGTTGGGGGGGTGAAGCCTTTGGAAAACAAGCCAAAATCCAGATGTCAGATGCTTTTTTTTTTTTGTTGGTTGATTCAGAACGTACTGTTATCGAGCTCAATGTTCTTACAAGCAAACAAACGTTTTGAATCATTAAAACACAACAAACACGATTGTATTAGGAAGGGTAATCTTTGGACACAATGTATAATATCTCGGGACGGCTATTAAAAATGTTTGCTTTTCGACAACGGCAATCGATTTTTTTTTTCGTTCGCACGTCATCGTTCGTTATGCAAGATGCTCACTAAATTCCATATAAATACTTCTTATTTTATTAGGCAGTGGGGAGGGGACTACTCTTGACAATACTGTGAACGGAATCCACTTCCTCCATGCCACCGCTGTACTTTCATTCCTGAGCTTTCAGTTCACCCGAGCGGAGAACACAATGACCGAGCGGCTTTTATTCTTCTCCGACACCACGGATGCATTTAGATCATATTCCGATAAAGTCCTTTGTCAGCCGCTCTGGGCCGCTAGCCCGGAGAGTCCCACGCTCTCACGGTCCATGGCTTATCCTCGTCATTACCTCCACTAAATAGTTGTCTCGCACTCCGCCCAAACAGAAATGTTACCTGTCTTCATTGCTGGCGCAGTCCCGATGGTTGTCATTGTTTTGGTTTCTTATGACGCAGGGTTGTTTTTGGGACATCGATTGGAAAGCGCTGAACTGCGCCAGTCAATATTTCCCATTTTGTTTACGACCTCCGCCACGGTAATATTCAAAAAAGTAAAATTCAAAGTGGACTGCACTATAGGAAGCATGACACGCCAAGTGGAATGTGACTTGTATCAACGACAATGAGTCAAGACAGAGTGAAAGAAAGCATGGAACTAAAAAGAAAATAATAATAAATGATGACACGAGATGAGACATACTTGCGTCAGACACGAGCAGCTGGAGGGAGCTGATTGGTAGACACAGGCAACCCGGTTGACTAGAGCAGGTGGAAACGAGAACCAAACGAGGCAGACATACCCTGAAATAAAAGACTGCATTTACAATTCAAAAGTCCACAAAAAAAAAACTGAATAATGCAGTCAAGTGTTTTTCGTAAGGCTGCTACCCATGAACGACACACAAGCTCCACTACCATTAAGAAGCGAATCAACACATTTATTAGATGCTCGCAAATAAGTCCCATCCTGACTAATGGTTTCAATTTGCATCTGAGTGGCAAAAAAAAAAAAAAAAAAAAATGTACGTCAATCGTAATTCATGTCCACTGCTGTCACGTTGCTCATAAATGATGTCAACAAGTAGTTTCAGGCCTCTGTGTCGCACAGTAGTTGGAGAGCTCGATTATGTAAGTTGGCTCATTTACACAACCTTCACCCCCACCCTACCGAGTGGAAGATGCATTCAAAACATTCCCAAGGACCATCTGGCTCTTATCACCTTTTCACATCACTTCCTCATAAAAGGCTCATCAAGGGCCCACATACGTGCTTATCACGCACGACTCCCTATTCTGTCAACACAGTGCTCGCCTATTTATTTTCATTTTATTGCCCGCGAGATGGATGACAACGTTATGCCACCTTTGTCCTCTTTCGGGCCAAACATTGCGACCCGCTGTCTTGGAGAGTTATTGGAAGATGAGCTGACATTGGTTCTCGTGAGTCCAAGGAGGTCACGGCGACTTCTTCGACATCCTTATGGGAGACGGGGGGAAAAAAAAATCCGTTTTGGGATTTTTAAATCCAGGGAGCAAAGGTTTTGAAGAAATATCAGGGAATGGCCATCTGGGGCATCTTGTCAATTAATCAAACCTGCTGAGAATTACATAAGGGCTTCTCGGCGAAAATTGAAGTTTATTTGGCAGATGCCATTAAGAGTTGTTATCGGGCCGTGATGAATGCTGGTAAGTGATTTATGATGAGTTCACAGTATGCAAAAGCCATTCCGAAGAGTTGCGTGCATGGGAAATTTTTCAGAGCAGATCATGTCATCATATGGCAGCCTGTTACATAACGAGCATCAGGCCATGGATATTTCCATTCCAAACTGATACAGTATGTGTTTTAACCCGAGGAAAATTGGAAAATGTCAATTCTGGCCAGACGGAAGACAGAACGATAGTAAACTCCAATTTATAACATCAATCCACGAGGGGAAAAAAATCCTTCAGATCTCTGACTGGCTAAAATGAGCCTTTTGTTAGGATCTTACCGCAGGGTGGGCATTTTTTGTACTCAAAGGCCATATTTTATTTTATTTTTCAATTTTTCCTTTCCTGAATGTTGGATTGAGATCATGGGATGTTGTCGGATGAAAAGAGCTTTATCTCTGAGAATTGCGGGCCTGTGATACAAAATTTTGTATTGATTTATTATTCTTACTGTGATTAGTTCCTGTGAAGTTTTTAGACTAGAAACGGAATTGCCAGGTCATTCGTAGAGGGGATAAAATTGGACAAAAATGTTCGTACCCCGGGCGGCTCGGTGGGCAACTGGTTAGCGCCTCACAGTGCAGAGGTGCAGGGTTCGATTCCGGCTCCGGCCTACTGTCCGAAGGCAGCTGCGATAGGCTCCAGCATGCCCCGCGACCTTCGTGAGGATAAGTGGATCAGAAAATGGATGGATGGATGTTAGTACCCCTGTGTTAGTGGAAACAAAAAAAAAAAAATCATGAAAATCATCTAAAGACAATCAAACACTGGTTTTTAATTGTGGTAAAAGAGAATTACTGTATTATAAAAAATAATTGTACCACTAGGTGTCTTCAAATCAGTCTGTCGGCCTATTTAAAGGGGAGCAAGTAGTCGCTGTGGTGTTTGGTGATGTGGTGTGGAAAGACACTCGACTAAAACATTGAACTACTCAGAAGTGGCGTCTATGGGCCCTGATTTCAATCCTACTGAACATGAGCTGAAACATGCCGTCTGGAGAAACACTCTTCAAGTGTCAATGCAAGTGCTCGTTGGGCTGGCTGAAAAAAGTGTAACGTATGTGGATTTCTAATTCAGGATGGGGGTGGGGGGAGTTTTCCAAATACTTTTGTCCGTATAATGCACATCTTCCCAGACGGAGACCATCGCCTTCTCTCACTCTCGCCTCAAGTTTAGCAGGAAAGTGGCAGCGGATTCCATCCAGCATTGCCCTTCCTGTGTCAGCGGGGAGTATTCCTTGAGATCCATCATATGGGCGCCACATTCTTGGCATGCCCGAGCTTCGCCGCCGCGACGCTCACGAGACCTAATAGTCAAACAGCTGTTGACCGCCGACGCTCTCGTTTCCTGTGAGAAAGACGCTCACTGAGCAGAGCGACCATCCAAAGAAAGGGGCTCTTGTCTGCTAAAACAGGCTCGGACATGAATGAAGAAGCGATGAAGTCTGTCTAATTTTCACTGTATCATCAGGACTGATGATGATGAACAGATGGCGTAGAGTTCTTAACATCACAATGCGTAGTTTCAGGTCTCGGGCTTTAGACGAGGACCACCCGGTCGTGGTTAGACGTCGGGATGGAGGGCAGGTCTCGATCCTGCTCAATCTGAATCCCTGACAGAGTGTTTTATGTTCCCCATTCAAGCTGCAACAAGGAGCTCCAGAGTCCCCATTTAACATTGAAAGCATCTTTTATCGGATTTGTCCTCAACTTCATCTTAATGGGGAAACCGTACAGAAGAATGTAAATGTACTGTAGGAAGGATTTTGGCCAAACCCTCTGCCGAGAATGGAAGAGCCTAAGAAAGGTTAATCGGCGCCCTTTGGGTTCGTCGTCTATTACGTAACTTGACTAAGTGCCGTGCTCGAGACTAAAGACGCTCACCGAGGAAGGCGTGAAAGACTGTCTGCTGACATGAGTTAGAAGTGGCGGCATTCTACGCATTCTTTATACCAAGCTGTCTCACTGGGAGATTTTGTTGGTCGGAAAGCTAATGGCGTTGATCTGCTTTGTGGATTGACTGAAAAGGCTAAATGGTTGTAATCAGAGCAACAATTGCACCAGATAAGATTTGCTCCACGTCTTTCTGTGTCTTTTGGACTTGACCGATGTCACAGAGCTTGCAAAAGGAGACGGTTGTTGCAAGGATTTTACCTTCTGTTCATTGTATGTTATGGGCCACATACTCCCGTTAGCGTGAGAGTTTTCCTTTTGTTTTTTTTTCTTTAAACGCACCTGGCTTCTGACTGGGCCGCCATGTGCGATCTGACAATTTGTGTGCAACCACCGCAGAAGCATGACTCACTGAAGTCTGAGACTGGCTTTCAATGATGCCGCATGGAGTTTTCCTCGGACTGGTGAAATGTCAGTCAAATCCAGTTGAATAATACACTGAATCACACTTCAAATATGGAAATACCTTACCTACCGTCTATTTTCTGGACCGGTTATCCTCATTCGGGTCATGGATGTGTGGAGGCCAAGAAACTGAGTATGCATCCAAATTCATGGAACAAACTGGATGGATGGACTGGACGTTGCCTGCCTCTATGTTATCATTTGGTGTCGCGCAGTGCCTGTAAAAAACAAAAACAATATACGGTTTAGAATTCAATTATGGTTATGAGAAAATGACCTAAAAAGTGGGAGGAAACTTTGGTGATCGATTCTGCGCCAAGCAGATGTCACGCAAGATCTCAAGGGATGCTTTGTCCTTTTGGTGCTCCATATTCCAAAGGCATTGTCACTTTTTTTATCAAAGTATTTTGTTTTGGTTTTTTTTGCATGAATGCCGACTCTATCTCGGTAGGTGATGTCAGACGTAAACACACAAACATCTGTCGAAGCTTGCAACTATTGACGACTATCTATTGACTGGAGTGTGACTGATGCGGCAAGAAAAGGAGGCAAGAAAAGGAGGATTCGCACCACTGCCTGAACTTTGACCTCCCTCCCCCCCTGGCTTGAGTCCACACATGAAAGCACAAAGGGCCAAACAGCGGCGGCGCAAGCTGTCTCCTTGCATTGAATGATTGTCATCGCGCATTATGCACAGTCGCTAATATGTCATGCTGACGCGTTCACATTTTAGATGGATCTTGTCCCTTCGCTCCTGCTGATTCCAGGAATGATTCCCAGCTGATGTTGACTCTGCAGTCACTTTAATCCTATTTATAGTGATTTATCCTCGCCAATCATTTTCATCTTAGTGAATTTTTGAGCTGGCAGCATTGTGGTTAGCATGTCTGCTCATTCTAAAAAGATGCATGCTTGGGGGATGGAAGACTCCTTGAAAATTGGAGGAAGAGGATTTTCAGCACATATGGCTCTCTATGGTGGGCAACACGCTGGATTAGTAGTTAGTACATCTCCCTCACGGTTTTGTGGTTCTGGTTTTGAGATTTTTGTTTCGGGCATTCCTGAGTGGAGTTCACATGTTCTACCCGTGTTCGTTTAGGTTTTCTCCATATACCCCGGCCTTCCTCTTGCGTTCCAAAAGATTCATCAAACAACCTCGTGCCACACTTCAGCGGGCCGTCAGCCAGCCCAAGGTGACCTCTGAACCTTGCCATGTGACACATGGATAGACACATGCACTTGCTGAAGCAAGTGGGCCGCGCAGGCCGACAGCTGGTAGCATGACGGATGCGGTCACCTGGAGCCAAATCGTTCCATCTCTTCAATGTATGCTCATCCGCAAAGCAAATCAGACTCGTGTACGGTGTACATACTGTGCTATTTACACTTGCGACAGCTTAAGCCGGAGGCGTTGTTTTTTTGTCACCTCGTGCCGAAATGTGTGAGAACATCTCCACGCAGTGAGCTCACGCGGAATGCCTCTACGTCCCTCTGGGTGTGTTCGGATGTGTACGTATCCTAGTGACATGGCGCGCAGACACGTGAGGATGGGTAGCTAGCAGGGCTTCCATTTTCCATGTGATCCTATCGCCAGCTTTCCATTTTCGTGATGACAACTCACGCCATCACGAGGCTCGCTTTGCAGCCGCCTCTCGTGTGGATTTAGTCGGATTTTGTACCAAAACAAAAATTAGCTGCTATTACTTTTACACATTTATTTTGAATGACACCTTGGTCTTAGGGTAACAGGACGAAATGAAAACATTAATTAAGTCTGAATTTAAACTATATATATATTATAAAAAAATAATCATTTTATTTCCAAATTGCTCCGATTCAGTCCTGTAGGATTATTTGAAAGAAAGAAAAGCAAACGTTTTGAATTCCTGTTTCAGATTCCGCAGGTAAATGCTGCCAGAGTGTACCGGTAATAGGTCGGGTCAGGATGTCGCTTTCCTTCCCAAAGCTGATCAAATGTTGCTCATCTTTCGAAAAGCTAACTGATGGTGACTATTCAACAGTGCCTCTGCGACTGACGTGCAATTGATTGCTTGGCCCATGTTTAACTTTTTGTTTAAGTTCCTACTGATTTCTTTGTAAAACATTTCGTCAATACTCAAATACAAAACAATTTTTTTTTGATTTTTTTAACCACAAAATGTCACAAATAACATTTGGAAGACTTCAGTCCCAGATTTGGACTTCATACCTCAACTTTGAGTGAACCGGACCACACAAGGCTGGTGTGAAAGCAACGTTTTAAAAGTCCTTAAAACAAGTGTCTCCTGTATTGCAACCATATTGGAAAAAAGAACATTTTTGTAAAGCAAAGCAGGCGCTGGTTTTGGCTTTGCGCAAGTGCTTCCACTGAACATTTAACGCTCATTTGGACTTAAACGGATTAAAGTGTGAGGTTTCACTGCATGAACCTCAGCGGGTTTTTTGCCGGTGTCAAACACAGTGGCTTATTTCTTCCATTTCACCAGTATTTCTTCGACTACTGTGAGGGGAAATTGTGCGTCAGACAACCACTGTCCTCCATGTTTTAAAGAATCCCAATAAATACTAAAATGACACGTTTGCGTATCCTAATTTAGGGGCTCGGCAAGAGAATGAAACGGCGTTTGATAGCCTCTTCATCCTCGTCTTAAGTTTGTTTATGTTTCCTTCGCTGTGTCCTTCAGGTCCAAGCACTCCCACCTTCCCACTGCCGCCAGCTCAATAAATGTTTTCCATTTCTCTCCTGAGTCAGACATTCCAAATGGATCCGTTTCCCCATTTCCTGCCGCTTTCTTTCGATCTCTCTCCTCTCCTCCGCCGCTGTGACTTCTTCTGTCCTCGTGGCTTCTTGCTTACTCATGTTTATTTTGCTAACTTGGCGTAACCCCACCACCACCACCACCCACCCCCACACCCTCTGTGCTTTTACCTGCTTGTACGTGTTTATCCTGTCAAAGTCTGCCTCATCCGACTGAATGAGACACAACTGAGATGACGACGGAGTTGTTGTGATGCCAGGCCATTCCGCCGGGATGAGCTCTTGACAGACAGCGGCGGGTGTAGCGACGCTCCCTCACCCGATTGGTTTTCCATCTGCTGTGGGACAGCGTTTTGTCTCTTGTTGAATTGCAAAGGTTATTATTGTTCACGCCACCCGAGACTGTACCACGCAAACATGTAGAGCGAGGGATCAATGTAAGGAGAATGGAGTCAGGACTGACAGTTGTTCGGCTTGCAACTCAATTTCTCATCTGTGAAGTACAATTCCCCAAATAAAATGTAAGTAAAAAGTCATTCATCCACTATTCCCATAAAAATCACCAACTTTGACTCCAACTATGGTCGGCCATTTGTCCAGGACCAAATCCATGAGGCGTCCATATTAACCTTCTCAGGCACAGCGGTTACGACAGTGGACAGCTTATCATGTTATCAGGTTACAGAAGGGGTGTCAAACTCATTTTTTTGTCGCAGGCCTCTACGGAGTTACGGCTTCCCTCGGAGGGCCGATGCAAAATCTCAACGTTATTTATTACCGATGACAATTTGACATTTTGGTACAGATTTCAGCTAGGATCATGAAAGTTGACACACATGATTTGCACCAGCGGGCCACATAAAATGACGTGGCGGGCCGGATCTGGCCCCCGGGGCCTTGACTTTTACAGCTGTGGGTTACAGGGTGCATGAAAGGGTTAAAGAAGGAGAATACAGCATACAAACGGTGTCTACATGTCCAAAGTCAGTTTACAAACTTCGGTTCACAAATCTCACATTCACACCCATTCGGCAATTTAGAGTCTTCAATCAAACTAACATTCATGGTTTTGCTGAGATTGGAACCCCGAAGCTCCGAACTGCGAGGTTGACGTGCTAGCCGCCATCGCTCTGCTGCCAAAACTTGAGCAACTTTCATCAAAACACACTGCGCATCATTTCTGTGTTTTTCAGGACATGGGTCTCTTTGGTGGTCACTTTCAGGTGAAATAATTGATGTGTAGTTGTTCACATTAAGCCTGAGCATTAGCACAAATGTGTTTCATCAAAATTATCCTTATACCTGCAGAATTTCTGGTTTCTCTTTGTCTAAACATGCAAAACCGAGTGAAGCGGGTGCTTGTCATGCATTCCTGTGGTCTGAATGCGGCGAAACGTCTCTGTGCCTGCAAAGTCGCCCACTCGCTAATTCGAGTATCACGCCCTTCCTGCAACGGCATACATGATACGCACTTACCACCTCTAATGCATATCCAAGCTAAAGCAGCTGCCATGTCTCCATTTTTTGGGGTCACTGGTAATCCGGAAGCTGTGTCACCTTGGACTGCTCGCCGCAAATTGTAGAAAAACAACCATTTGCATTCACATTCCGGGTTATCATATAGTAACTGTATGATGACCTCATCTGAAACACACGGGGGGCCAATGCAGCACATTTTGAAAACTGATGTAATGTGTTCACGCCCTCTGGTCCTTGTCAGGACTCGTGCGGCTAAGTTCTGGAGTAGTTGTAAGCTTGAACTACTCTTTTTAGGAAGACCAAATACGGCATGATGACAATCCAAGCGACAGGAAATAAAAGCATGCATCTGACTTGAAATCCAATTTTAAGGCCACACATCATGCTCCTCATAGGGGGTCTCCAGATCACAAAATATCTTGTTTATCTGCCGTTTATAGATGTCTTGTTTTGACACCCCCCACCCCCTGGTGTTTTGTTCCCCCCACATGATTGTCAAAAGGGATTAGGAACTTCACTTTTAATAGCATTTGGGCATCAGCAGTGCACGTCGAATGACTTCTAGAAGTTTGGGAACACGACTGAACCTTCCCGTGCTGTCGTTGTTGCCCACAGTAGAGTCAGTGTGGCATCACAGGGGGCGCAGGGGCGGGGGGGAAGGTGAATGTAAGGAGTGTTTAAGATGTGGGTGGCGTGTTTAAGTGACCTAAATCAAACTGCACTGTACTGTTTCGTTTTATGAGGTGCGAGACCTTCGCAGCCCCTTTCAGAAAGCTTTGCATTGAGATGACACCAGTGTGTGACCTCACCGCACTATATCAACTTGTTAAAAAGGGACACACATACACACACACACACACACACACACACACACACACACACACACACACACACTGGCTTTCAAATTAAGAGTCGCAAAATTACCGACACGTCAGGAATCAGACATGGGTAAGTTTTGACGACAGCATAACTTGCAAAAAAAAAAAAAAAAGTCCTGAATTTGTGCCACTATTTTCAACACTCCAGTCTTATATAAAATAAAATAAAAATAATTCATCTGTATCTGATTTGAGGGATATTAGCGGGATAGTTTGATTTTGTGACTGGCCAATACAACTTCCGACTATCACGGCTCGGTCTCTATGCATGCACCATTTCAGTATGACTTCATTACTGGCATGCCAACCTCCTGTTGAGTTAAGCCGCGTCACAGTTCACTCACTGTCTGCTGGATTTGCGATGTATTTATTCAAATTTTACGCCTCATCGTACGTATGATTTTTGAAGGTGCAGTAAGTTTCGATACGTATCTCGGAATGTTTACAGGTTGAACACTTCGATAACACTTGCATTAAATAATTGGGGGAAAAAATATCTTTTGGTTCTTTTTTTTTAACTGAAAATGTTTCAAAACAATATCGCGACAACAGAGTTTTTCAAGGTACTACGGGCCTGACAAGTACATCATCTCGCTTGTCAGAGTGGGTATCGCTTTGACAAAGCTGTTATCTGATGGCAAAACATCCACTTTTTTTTTTTAACTAGATTAAGTCTAACTTGTACTTCACCTCACATCCCCTTTGAGATGTTTTCCAGTGTTTGCATTGTCATCGTCGTCTTTTAAAGTGACCCTTATTTGTATGTAAATGACACAACCGCCTACGCACTAACAAGGACTGTGAGGATTTAGATCAGATTACTACATTGAATCTTATCTTTTGCTGTTCCTTACTGGTATTCACTCGCTGTACAGGGTTTCAGTGTTCTGCAGTGTTTTGTCATGGTGACATCTTGTTAAATGGGGCAAATTTCCTTCACATGGACAGGAGAAAGCGTAAAGTAAATACACTCAGCAAGAAGGCTGTTTGACTTTGCTCTACATCACTTCTTCCAAAGTGCCTCACAAAGACGTGTCGCTCACTTATTTGCCATCTTCGGGCCTTCCGTATTCGTGCCGCATCATCTATGTGTTTGTGTTTCTTGGAATTGGGTCACAGAAAGTAAAAAGGAGAAAACAAAATGAAAGGCAACAGGCCTAAAGGCAGAGTCCTGAGGGGGACAAATATTGAACAATACCGTGTCACTCACTGTGTTTTGACGCTTGGTGGTTATCAGTACACCTCCAAATTTGCACACATCTGTTCTTGAGATCCTTCATGGGACGCTCAAAGCTTCAGTGGCCTGCAAAAGGTGTGAAGAGTACTAAGATGAGAAATGCATTTCTTTGCACAATTATCAAGTGAATGAAAACACAACTTGTGCAGAGTCGTTAAGTTGATGAATTACAATGACTCAGCTCAACTGTTGTTGGGTTCTTTTATGAATGGCACAGGCGAACAAATTCCCAAGGCTTTTGTTAGAAAAAAAAAAAGCTTGGTGTGAAAGAGCTACTCAATGCACCTCTTGTGAGTGTTTTCACCACAAATCATTTACCTGCTGTTAAATCCCCGTTGTGTGTGATTCAATCATGTCCACATGTTGGATTTAGCGGGACGTGGCCCAAACAAGACCCAGGACTGTTTTGCTATCACACGTCGGAAAGGTCACGACTCAACTTCTCACATTTATGCGAGCTAAATTGCAAAAGCTGGCAGGCTAATTCACCGGTATGTGTTTTGGTTTGCTCTCTTGGGTTCGGTCACGTTCACTCACTGGCCAATGAACCTCTTCTACATTTAGGGTTTTTTTGGGGGGGAGAGATGGCGGAGGTGCAAGGGTCAATGCTCTGCAGAGGACTTCAGGTAACATTTAAGGAGGCGCAAGAGGTTACACACCCTGGCGCTTTAATCACTCAGTGGGGAATTGTGGAATGTCCGCTGTCAATGGCACTCCTGCCTGTTGGCAGCAACACAATTATCTTTGCCATGGTAAAAATGGACAATTGTGCGCTCTGGAGACCATGTGATGCTCTGTAGACCATGTGACGTACCACTAGAAAATGTGCAACGCCGTGAGCCATGTCACCAGCACACACAATCTCAGGTTAGAATTGTAACAGTCGGAGTGAGCAATCTTGACAACGGATATATAATTAGTTGTTTTTGTTTGATTTGGATTGATTTGTTGGTTTAGTTTTAGAATGAGAGAGAGAGAGAGAGAGAGAGAGAGAGAGAGAGAGAGAGAGAGAGAGAGAGAGAGAGATACTTGCTTACTTTATTCATCCCGTTTAATGGAGAGCGAGCTTGACAAAAAGTTATCAAAGCTCGCAGAAACATTCAAAAGCAGTAATACACAACAAAATACAAAAACATTTAATAAATATCCCTAAATTAGCATATGTAATTGAACAGCAAATGTGGTTGTCCAACATTTTTATATTTACATGATGCTAACATGAGAATGCCTGTTGACATGCTCGCACAATTGGCACAATTGAAAGAAAATATCTATTTTTTGTATGATAATGAACAATTTCACAAAGAGGCACCGTACATAGTTGAGCAGTTTTTAACAGGTTAGAAATTGAAAATTTTATAATTAGCCAAACATTTTGGCTAAAAAATGTTTGATTTACTTCATGCTAACTCAAGATGAGGATCGGCATTGGCCTAAGGGCAAAATTACAATCGTTTATTGAAAAAAAAAAATTATTTCAGCATGAACAATTTCATGGACCGTGACATATAAACTGAGCATGAGAATGTAAATTGTTGACATACATATAATTTAACAGGTTTGGCAAGGAAAGAAATAGGTTTGGAAATACCGGAACAAAATGTGTAGAGTTCAGGAAAAGAACTCAATTTAGCATGATGCTAACTTAATTAACATGAGAATCGCCACTGATATGCAAATGCAATTGGATTTTTTTATTGGTGTCTCGCGTTTTAGCATGATAGTGAACTCGGTCACAAAATATGAGGTTAGCTTAACACAGAGATGTAACATATTTGCATAATAATAATTTAGCAAAAGAAGAGATACTGACTTTATCTATCTGAAGCGTTGTATTCCACCAGTCAAAGTACCGTAAGACTGAATGGACAATCAGCTGAGGATGAAAACAATACAATACAATGCAATACAATATTGTATAAATACAGGAAATATTTGTTTATATAGCGCTTTCACGCAGCTGCAACTGTAACAAAGGTGCTTTACAGAACAGTTAAAATAAAATTACAAAACCTTGAATACTTTCCAAAATTCATATGTTTTAAACCAGTTTGTATTTTTCTGCCAACTTTTTCCTTTTACTCCCCATCTTTGAAAACAGATATCTACACTCTGTACTCCTTACTTTGTCAAAATAGGCTCATTATTTTGGCTGGATCTGATCTATTATCCCACCTCTTTGGGCATCTTTTGTCGAATAACATTTGGAATCATTAGATGTCTGAGAAAACCTAAATTAACCTTTCCGAGCCTCGGCCTTCTTGTTATTGTTCAAAACAAATCAGGCTCTTGCTTTGCCACGCCTTGGACGGCTTAGACAGCAGCTATTTGACAGTGAACTGTTAGTTGACAGTTAAAGCCAGTCTGTCTCGATCGTCATCCCTTCCCACGCTGACTCGTCCTGGGCAACGCCTCGGGATGCTCAGAATTCCTCGGGCGAGCACTCTCACACATATGTTCCTGTTGCCAGGGGGAAACTTGTGCATTGAATCTCACCTGCACACTTGCAACTCAGCCAAGGCCAGTTGGCTAAAAACACAGTGATGATAGCATCCAGTGCGCCTTGCATGCTTGGCAAGAGAACATCGGTGAACATGCTGTGCTTTGGGGAAAGTGCTACCCTTTGGAAGTGCTTATGAAGGAGAAGCTGCTTTGGCCTTAGTTCAAATGTTAATCCAAACTTTGTAGTTGAAGTTACACTTGCTAATGCTCACGACTCTAAATTATCAATAGGCAAAACTGTGAGAGTCACTGGTTGTTGTCTATATGGACCCTGCCTCGTGTACCATGCCTCTCAAGTTCCAACTCACCCGAGACCCGAATGAGAATAGGCGCGATAGAAAATGGATCAATATTCATATATATTCCGGATTTTGTGTTTTCATAAGGCATATCATGTGTTTTTAAAATGTGTTAATGGTCTTTGTTATCATTCCGCAGTACATTCCACAATACACATACAACTGCAATCAACTAATTGGAGGAAGAATGCCACAGACAGAATGGCACAGACAAAAGCAAAAACGAATTTTTGTTTTTTTCTCTGACAAACGGAAAGATATTTGCTCAAATTAAACCTCTAAAATTAGCTTTGCGGACATGTACTTTAAAAATGAACAGTGAATTAAAAAAAAGAAATATTTTCATCATTCCAATTTTTAACCCCAACGACGGAATCAGATCTCATTTTAATTCGTTTAACAGCTTTTGCAAGCAATCACACACTGCATAAATAAACGTAAACCGTTAATAAAAGTTGGCGTAATGATGCACTAGGCCCAAAAAACAAAAACATTTTTTTCTAAATATGTCTCGCATGTACACACATCTTAATAATAGATACATATTTTGTATATTTAAATCACAGTTTATCCTTGCTGTGCCAGTGTTAACCAGTACAGAACTGACTCTACAGTACTGTACTGTAAAGTTATTTGAAAAATTTGGAAAGTTCTTTTTACCCCCAAACTCGTGCGACCTGAACGTTTCACAGCCAGCTGGCCAGCGAGTCCTCAACCTGGGCCCTCCCTGCCGATTAACCCCGAGATGATTGGCTTATACTTGCTGACGTCACACCAATGGGCGGGTCAGCGGTAACAGTTTATCAACCGAAAACGAGGAGAGGAAGTCAGAGCAATTTAAACAGTAGTCAGTCGCACGCTTTCCTCCCGTCTTGTAATTTGGATTATTCCGCTTTTCCCCAATGCTGAAATATTTAATTACCATGCTCATCTCTACCTGATCTGCTCGCACTTTTGTTTCGTCCCTAGATAGTTGATTTCAACTTTATTTAACGATGCTAAGTGCAGCGAAGATTGACAACAAGAGCGGAATGATGGCAAAAGTTCACACGAGGATAAGAGCGGATCCCTTCTCGGCCAATTACGAACTGGCTGGCAAAGAACTGGGCCGGTAGGTGTTGTCTTATTTTGTTTGTGTCTACTGAACCGTAAAAAAAAATCCTCAAATGGAACGCGTCCCACGGCGCTTTGGAAGCTAAAGTGATTGTGTTAATCTTATTAGTTGTTTTGCGTCAGGCACGTGTGAGTGAGACGCGTGTGGGTTTGCCAGGTGGGCTTTTGGCATTCCTGTGCAGAAAAGATCCTTTTTGAAACCGTGTGCTTTTGGGATTCCTGGGAAAATACTTGTTTCTATGCTCAAAGTTCATATGATGTGGTAATTGCACTATTGTGGGACTAACACATGTTATCTTATTTGAAAATATTTCAAAAAATAAACTGAGAGCGTGCACATTGTTATTTTTGAAGTCATTGGTGCTGCATTGCTGTGTTGTGATGTGTTGAATTCCATCCAGCCGTCCTCTGGGTTTACAGGGCGGCTGTTCACCACTAAATTCAGGGGCACATAAAGACCTGACTTTAACATGAACCCACAACCTCAAAATTGAGAAGTAGACATGTGGTTCGTGTTGAAGTCTTTTTTTAACAGAAAAAAAAACACGTTACAAGGGGACACTATATACAGTACTGGCAAACATGTAGCACACAGATGTCAAACTTGGCGCACAGGGGCCAGATCTGGCCCATCACGTCACTTTATGTGGCCCGCAAAAACAAATTATGTGCATCAACCGAATGTTTCTTTCTAAAATTGCAAATTGTTTTCACTTTTTTCACTCACTGTTTTTATTGGCCTCTGATTTCAAAACTTTTTTTTTTTTTTGTAGATACATTTATTTGCGTTCACATTCATAATAGCCCTCTGCAGGAAACCATAACTATGATGTGGCTCACAACAAAAATGAGTTTGACACCCCTGATTGTAGCATGATCTCCTTTTCCCATTCAATTCCCCAAATTCATCAAAAATACAGATTATGACACTCAGTTTCAATTGGCTTTGTCATAGAAGTACTAATTTTATACTACGATTACACTGGTGCAACATCAAATTTTAATCAGTCGGCTTTATGTGTCTGTAAATGTATTTTTGACACTGATTTAATAAATCTTTGCTACTACTTCCTCGTCCATCCGGTTTTTCATTTCTTTTTTTTAATTTTGACTTATAAAAGATTGCGTAATAGATTGCATAATTTATCGCTTATTATTATTATGAATATGTGGTGTGCTCGAGAAAACAAACAAGGGCACATTCTGAATCAGCGTCAAAAAAAAAAACATCTAGAAAAGTTTACTTGCATCTCTGATTAAAAAACTAGTAAAAAAAAAAAATGTTGTTATGATTCTGGTTCTAGTTTTCACTCGCTGACTCACACTGTTACAACATTAGGTGTTAATCACAGCTCCATAAATAGCAACCGGAGTATCTGAGCTCATCACTACGTTGAAAACAAAAACTAAATAAAGGGACGCCCATGCAGCGAGACACGCGATGATATCCGGGAACAGCAGCCAGGATCTGTGGGTCTCGATGTTGTGTGTTCAGGGGGTTGGGGGTTGTAAAGTTCTAGACAGAGCAGCAGGAGTATCTTCCTCCCCTCCTTTCCCCACAGAAGTCACTCCCCCCCTCCACCCCTGCGACTCCTGTGCTAACAGCATGCCATCTTAGTTGTTTTTCAGTGAATAATGTTAGTTATGTTGGAAACATTGGCATGAGCTTGCAGGTGGTGATTTATCAGTGGGGGGTTTTTGAGGGGGGAGGGGTGAAATGTCACACACATAAAAACCCCACAACCTGAATGTATTTTGGTCACGCGCTCTTTGGGCAACAGCTAGGTTTGGTAACCTTTGACTCCTGTTTGAAAAGACCCCCGCTGGCCACTCTCTGCAGCCATTGATCACTTCTTTTCATCACACATGTAGTTCCCCAGCGCACATGGCGCTCCTTCTCAACGGGGCTAATTAACTTGAGAAAAGGCTCTGAGGGGGGTGGGGCGTGGGGGGCATTTTTTTTTTTTTTGCACAATGACCCAGAGGCTCTGGACCACGAACGGTGAGGGTGGATAGGCTGGATTTGGTTCGACAGTGTGGGAATATTCGGAAGGGAAAAATTGGCGGAACCACGCTGACTGGACCCTTTCAGGTACATTGTGGTTGCATTCAAAACATGCTGGCTGGAGTTAAACGTTGAGCCAATGACACCCCCCACCCCCCCCCCCCCCCCCCTTGCCCGAACTTACCCCTTTCCTTCGGCCTGGTCAGGTGGGTGGTCCCCGTGTCTGTGGTACCAACTGGCTAGCTTTTTGTACAACTGTCATGGCCTCTGTATGGAGGCGTCAACACGCGTCCATTTGTCCATGTTGCTGTCAGCTGTGCTGAAAAAGAAGGGGGGGGGGGTTATCTGCTGGGGAGGGCATCTTAACCTTTCACTAATGAACATGTGAACGCCCAGAACATCTAGGCAACATCTCGTTTGTTGTCTGCAAGGGTGTCCTCGGTACTGATAAAGGTGTATTTTGGCATATAATTATCGTAATTATAATTAGCGTAGGTTAGTTCCAATTTAAGTTTGAATTTGGGTTACGTAACCGCTGTAGAAACGGTACTCTGTAAACCATGGATCACCAGTCCTTATATAATTGTGTTTTTTTTGTTTGTTTGTTTGTTTGTTTTTTGTTAGTTTTACTGTGTTGCCATTTTAAAAATCATGTTGGGAATTGATACAGCATTTATGAAGGCGTGAAGCTCTGGTGTTAAATGAAAACAATTACCGGACATTACGATGCAAGCGTTGACTGGAAGGCCTGTTGAGCTACATCCGCATTAATGGCAATAAGAGTCAGAAAAGTCAGAGAAAATAATTGAAAATAATTAATGGAACAAACATACAATAAAACAATTTGTGATGGGCGAGTACTGACACCAGGTGTCGGTATAGTGTCGATACTGGACTTATTTTAAGGCATTGCGTTTTTGTGGAAGTCGCCGATACCAGCCATCAATACTTCAGGCAAAAAAAATAAATAAAAATCTGCTCTTGAGTAAGCCCTCCTCGGCAGTAGTTGGCGCTATACTGCGGCAGAATGACACATCAGCGAATCATCGTCTGAATCAGAAAGGTCCTTGTTCACAATTCTTTTGTGAAAGTGTGTCAAAAGAAGTATTATAGGTCAAAACTACTGAAGATATTGGAACGATGAGTGAATACTTGACCTGGTATCAGTCTGAAAAAAATTGCATGACTTCTTGCAATGTTATGAACCCTCAGCTGTCTGCGCTTCCATTGGTCAGACCTTCCAAGCAGGGGAGGGAAAAAAAAAGAATACTGCTGAGTGTCTAATGGCATTTCCTGTGCACATTTTTGAGCCCAATAACAACATCTGTGCTGTCCAATGAAACCACTTGGCCTTTCTTTGTCTGTGGATGTGTGGGGCCCATTTGTGGCACGATAGCGCTTTTCTAAGCATAATGTCCTTCTTATTAATATTTTAAAATGTAAATGACTCTCTGTGTCCAGGGGAAAGTTTGCGGTGGTGAAGAAGTGCACGGAGAAGGCGACGGGCAAGCAGTATGCCGCCAAGTTTCTGCGCAAGCGGCGGAAGGGTCAGGACTGCCGCGTGGACATCCTCAACGAGATCGCCGTGCTGGAGCTGGCCAAGTGCAACCCGTACGTTGTGGCCCTTCATGAGGTCTACGAGACGGCTACCGAGATCGTCCTGGTGCTTGAATGGTAAGAAGGAAAATTGGCGCACACGTGCGGCCTGAGTTTGAGCTTGTAGTACACAAAGCTCGGAGAATCCCAAGCTTTGCTTTGACTTGCGAGGAAAAAAAATCCGAGATGCAAACGCTAAATAATGTCAACTCACTTCACAAGAAGCAGAAAAATTCTGCAAAGATCCGGAATACTTGCATTTGCTTCAAAATGTAGCATCTATGTAACTAAAGGATCAGAACATTATTTTTAAGTGTGTGAGGAGTTGCTCTGTAGAACCCTTTTAAACGCTCACAGGAAATTGAAACGCGTTCGCAAACAAGTTTGTGGTTTGAAATGCGAAGTAGTCTCGCTGCGGCTTCGCCGCTAAGCTACGCCGACTGTTCTAACGAAGTGCAAAAGCGGGAAGGAGCAGGTCTCGTCGACGGCAACGCATTAAATCAAGCGGTGGCGGTGAAGTTTGCATTTGGTTGCACTGAGTCGCATGATTCGGTCTCACGGTTTTTCTCTACCCCCCCCCCCCCAACCATGCCATTTCCTGTATGAGGCAGTAAGCAAAGCTGCTAAAAGTAGCGCGGCGGTCGCCAAACACACACGCACACACGCTGTCACACACATTTCTCATAGCCGCAACCACATCCGCCGTCTGCTCTGTAAAATAGTCGCTAGTTTCTCAGGGCTTCACGTGCAGCTGCAGCCAGGAGCCTAACACACAAAGCTCTCCTTTGCTTTCTGCGAAATGACTAGTCTGGGCAAAGTCTTGATGAGAAATCAGATTTGAATGTTCGGAACTTAACGCTCTATCTTGCCCTTTCTGTACTTGTACTTTCCAGCCTAAACATGTAGTACAGTCATCGATTTTTATCCCCATCACCGATTATTTTCTGAGCGAATCAGGAAGGAACGATCTCTCTTGACCGCCAAAGGATGAACTTTAGAAACATTAGATCATCGGGCCGTTCGCAATTTTGATTAAGATGTGTCAAAGCAACTTTTTGCTCATTTTAACCCTTTCATGCACCCTGTAACCATAACGTGATAAGCTGTCCACCGTAGTAAGCGCTGACCCTGAAAGGGTTAAGTATAAAAAACGAAAAAACGTCATTGAGACTTTTGGTGTGTTAACTGCCCCATGACATAATCCCCAAAAGCAAAAAAAAAAAAAAAAAGCAAGCAGTCACAAATGAATTAATTGTCCTCAGCAGTTTTAGTTTATCCTCGCTAAGACACAACTTTCAAGCTAGCTTTTAATTTCCTGCTTTCATTTATTTATATTTTGAGAACCTTTTTTTCTTTTTTCATTTGCTTTTCCAATGCTGCATTGTCTAAACTCGCCTGGAGCTCAAATGACCTCACTTTTTTTTTTTTTTTTTTTTTTTTTTTTAATCGGGCAACAACCAGGAGGTTTCTAAAACTTACTGGACCGGGCAGCCAAGCATGGATGACTCCCAAAGTCTCACTCAACAGGAGGTTAACTTGCTGTGAGGCTGAGTGCCCCCCCCCCTCCCCCCACATGTTAAATAGCCACTTACTTGGAGATCTAAGGCTGATCTGACCTCATCCATTCGTCCATGTGGTCGACTGCGGGCTTTAATCTGGCTGCCCGCTGTAGGGGAGGAACGTCTGAAGTCGTGAGAGCGTTTGCTCTCGAGGAAGAAGATGGGGACAAAAAAATAGACTTTTAGCCTCCGGACTGATTTTTAAAATGTGAAAGACCACAAACACGAGGTGGAAAAACTCATGTCCTAACTCCTCATATATTTTGTGTCCAAGATTTTTCCGGTTTCCAAGCAGATCGATGAGGATAAGTCACTCCAATACTCCACATCACGGATAATTTTTTAAATAAATCCGAAAGATGACTTTAAACGAAAAGAAGCGTCGGTGTTCAAATTTGTTGCGATAAACCGTGAACGCAGACCTAAGATGCAAACGAAATGCCCATGAGACAAAAGGTCGAGATCTCCTCTTCGTTGACAGATGAAAGTACACCCGATACATACGAATCATTTAAAACACATTCCGCCGATGCTTTTTTTTTGGGGGGGGGGGGGGTTCAAAAACGAGGATCACAACAAGGAAGATCAGATCCCCAGAATCCATCAAAACATCGGTACTGTTTTCACAGCTGAGGTCGGTCGAGGGCTCGGCCTCCCGAAGGCCCACGCGGTTGCGTAACCTCTCGCGACGTTTCCTCCGGACGATCAAAAGCACGTGCAACCGTTTAAATCCTCCACACGTGCTTCTAGTTTTTCCTACCACGACTTTGCTTGCAACACGAGTGTAGATGGCGGGCCGAGCTAGCCGCAAAAATGTGACATTATTTGAAGTGCGATCCCTTGGGACAAGTCAGGCGGAGGTTCTTCCGGTATCTAGTTACCAAAACTCAACCTTTTTGCCGTCTTTTCAAGAATATTCATCCCTAATACTACATTGCAGATCTATGAAACTAATTCCGATCGAATCCTCGACTTGTATAACAGTCAACCCATCTCGGGTATCTCTTTTTATCTGAACGTGCTGCCAACTCACCCGCTGTGATTAGCTTGTGGGATATGACAAGTCTACCATTAGCACAGATATGAATTTATTGTCAAGAACAAAGTACAGAGATATGGGGTTATGCAATGCTGGTGGGAAAAAAAATTGTGACTGTGTTTCGTTTTGTTGGCCTTTATTACATCGACGGGACAGAATGGATTCTGTCCCCTTGCAGCAGAGCAAACCAAAAGGAAGATTGTTAAGTCATTGAGTACCAGCCAATTCTGGACCAAGTCTGAAAAGACGTTTAAAAACGTCTTTGGGAGTGAATGAGTTAAGCACTTATGGTCGTTTGTTCACTTTGAGACAAGTTGAGACGAATACAGCGGATGACGAAACCCTGCATTTGTACGCAAGTCGGAAGATGCCGCAGCCCATCGCGAAGCCGCACTCAAGTCGTATTTTCAGTGGCAGAATGTTGACATCGAGGACTCCTGTTTCCATGCCGGCAAAACCGATCTAACTCAAGAATTCCCAACAAATACAGAACCTGTAAATCCATCCAATTTTGCCATCCCCAAAAAAAATCCCAGATTCAATCCAGAATTTAGCATTTTTATACTTGACCCGTACTTCACGCTTTGCCAAAACAGATCGTACATCTCCAAACTCCTTTTTAAAGTGGCAACACTACAGAACCAACAAACGGCAATGAATTCGTATGCCATAGGAAAGCTTGATTATCCCTCCCGAAACCACGGCGACGCAGCCTAGTTCATTGCGTACCGTTTGCAACCTAAACGCCACATGTCGTGAAAGCATCGACCTGGAGTCAAAAGTCTTCTCCCTATTCAGTTTTCCCCCCCCTTTCCTGTTCTTTTACCGCACTAGTGCCGGCGGCGGGGAGATCTTCGACCAGTGTGTCGCCGACAATGACGACGCCTTCACAGAGAAAGACGTCATCCGGTTGGCCCGACAGATTCTGATGGGGGTGGCTTTCCTGCATTGCAACAATGTCGTGCATCTCGATCTGAAGGTAAGACGCCCTAGATGGGACGTTACGTGACTACATGGGGCAGACTACCTGTAGGTGGCGGAGGCGTTTAGCTAGTTATGTAAGCCCGGCGCGCAGCCTAGTTCTCAGGGGGGGATGGCGGGGCTTTCAAATGAGGTAACAAGGCTATTATTTTTAATATTGTAAGGGTCGTTGTCCTTTAAGTATCCGGTTTCTCCCGCCAGAAAACATGTCATCTTGATAAAAGTAATCCCTAGTGGGTCCATGATTGGGGTGTCAGGAGATTCGGTTCCCAAGCAAATTTGGCGTTCATCCAAGCCATTGTGCACTGCAACAATTTAGCCGGGAAGTCATCGGATGCGATGTCCGACCCGTTCTCCCCTGATTGGCTTAGCTTAGATCTAAGGCTCGGCGAGATGCCGACTGACGGCGTGGACTTCCAAATCCCCTTGGGGTCTTTTTAATCTCAAACCAAGCGCCAAATCCCATTCGCTACTACTGATTTTGGCGCTTATGCGTGACTCATTTTTGATGAATATTGTATAGATGTATCCTTTTTTTCCCCCTCAAAATATATTGCGCATAAGTCAAACAGAAATTCTACCTGAATGAAAGAAAGGAGGTGGCTGCTGCGCTGATTTTCTTGTCAGTTTTGCTGAATTGGCTGGGGAGGACAGAAAGATTCCTTGCGTAAAAGGGAACATATTCCGAGAAAAAAAAAAACAATTTGTTTTTTTTCTTCTCCGTTTTGGTCTTGTAAAAAATATATATATATATATCAAAGAATTCCCACTTATCTGTGATGTTCCGATTGTGTTTTCAGGAAGAGAGCCACGGCGGAGGAATGCCTGAGCCACCCTTGGCTCAAACCCCACCCCCTCGTGCACCACCACCTCCACGCCGCCCGGTAGGACATCTCGCCGCTGGCCGTCGATTTCATCAAGTCGCTGTTGGTGAAAAACCCCAGGTGAGGTTGACGGAGACATACGTAGACATTCAGGATGTGAGTCAGGCCGGAAACGCGTGCGAAATGAGCGCATGAGGCGCAATTCGGTTTCCTCTTGCACAAGTTCTGACTTTATTTTGTCGCATTTTTGTCGCGGTTGCTTTAAAGCGGATGCGTGACTCATTTTTGATGAATATTGTATAGATGTATCCTTTTTTTCCCCCTCAAAATATATTGCGCATAAGTCAAATAGAAATTCTACCTGAATGACAGAAAGGAGGTGGCTGCTGCGCTGCTTTTCTTGTCAGTGTTGCTGAATTGGCTGGGGAGGACAAAAAGATTCCTTGCGTAAAAGGGAACATATTCTGAGAAAAAAAAACAATTTGTTTTTTTTCTTCTCTGTTTTGGTCTTGTAAAAAATATATATATATCAAAGAATTCCCACTTATCTGTGATGTTCCGATTGTGTTTTCAGGAAGAGAGCCACGGCGGAAGAATGCCTGAGCCACCCTTGGCTCAAACCCCACCCCCTCGTGCACCACCACCTCCACGCCGCACGGTCCTCGTCATCCTTGGACGAACCCGACGCCAGCGACACCAGCCAGTCCGAGGAATCCGAGCCCGAGAGCCCGGCGCCGTCCCCGGAGCTGGGCCTGATGGACTCGTACCTAACGTGTCCGTGTCAGGGCGAGCTGAAGACGGGCTGCGGCTCCTTCAGCTTCGCCGAGCCGCCCTTCGCCCCTCGGCCCGAAATACAGCAGGAGCTCATCTGCTGAAGAACAGACGGACAGACAGACAGACTCACTCCCTCTTTCAAGACGCCTGTGTAGATTGACTCGGAGGAAACGACGAGGATGAAGAAGACTGGTTCCTCGTTTTAAACCGAATTAGCCTTCCAAACACAGTTTTGGTCACAAGAGGTGTCCAAACTTGGTTCTGGACGTCTCAACAGTCTACGATGAGTTTTTTTGGTGAAGGAGGAAAAAAAAAAATTGGGGACGTTTTACCGTGAACTAGCGCAAAAGAAGTACATTTTTATATTGTTTATTTATGTTATATTTGCCTCTTCCGTCAGATCGAGTCAGCATTCTCACTTTTTCAATACAATCTTGAGCACTTTTTTTTTTAAGTTTAAAAAAACGTTTTTGTTAAAAAGGACTTCTTATGCAATCGCACAGCCCTAGCCTACTGTACATATGGTAAAAAAAAAGTGCCACGTTGGTGTATTCACGTTGTTCTTTTGAGCGTTTGCACAAGTCTGCACCTTTTTCCCCCCGTTTTTTTTTTCTGGATTTTTTTTCCGTTTTTTTTTTTTTTTTTTTTTTTTTTTTTACAGTTCATATTTTACTGTGAGAATGCAGCACATTTTTGAAAATGACTCATGGAGGCTGAAATAGATGAAGAGTCATATAATACACAGCGCTCGGGAGCAAGGCGTCGCAATGTTGTTGGCGTTTCCACCAATTAACCGGTCTTTTTCTCGACCGCCTGTGTGTCAATTTGGTAAGATGTCTCGCTTTTTCAATGTTAACTTTTATTTGTTTTCAGTTGTTGTTGTCGCCTTTTGCTTGTGGATTTCAGCCAGTTTTGCACTTGTCCTTGTGGACTTTTTTTTTTGTTGAAAGTTGAATAAATGTTCCTGTCATTGCAAAATGTAAAGAGAAATACATGTACATTTTGTATCAAACTCTTCTGACTGAATACGGGCATTATTTCTGTCAACATCCACTTTGCACAATAAGGACTCAGACCATGAGAAATAATCCACAAAAAGGCCAAAACACAGTATGGGTTGAACGGACTAGTTGACTCGACAAAATGAGTCAATTTTACGACGAGAGCTTGAAGCGGCTTACCATAATTGCCGAGGTTATTATAGTTGACAAAAACTGACAAAAAAACAAAAAAAACTAACTAAAATTGAAAAAACTCATGTTCATGTAATGAGAATGAAAATGGTCCAAAAAAAGTTCTAAAAATTCACTGTGCAGACGTGCACCGTTCCATTTCGGGTCCGACCTTCCTGTGTGGAGTTTGCATGTTCTCCCCGTGCCTGTGTGGGTTTTCTCCGGGTACTCCGGCTTCCTCCCGCATTCCAAAAACATGCATGGCAGGCTGATTGAACACTCAAAATTGTCAGTAGGTGTGATTGTGAGCGCGAATAGTTGTTTGTCTATGTGTGCCATTTGATTGGTTGGCAACCAGTTCAGGTTGTCCCCCGCCGATTGCCCGAAGACAGCTGGGATAGGCTCCAGTACCCGCCGCGACCCTTATGAGGATTAGCAGATTAGAAAATGGATGGATGAAAATCAGGTTTTCATGAGAATAATATAGTACGTCGTCTACACTATATATAGTAATATTCAGTTAAGGGTTAGGTTAAGCAACAGGTGGATTATTCTTTTTTTACGTCAGCGAGAAATAACACATGGTAAAATTGATATTGCGCAAGCGTTTGTAGGTTAAAAAAAAAATCTCCAAAACACAATGCACTCGGAAAAATTTGTTCAAATCAAAAATATGTGATGGAACACCAAGACACCAAAAGCTATCACTAATTAAAAAGCGCTGCTGACCCAGAGTAATTATCCTGTTTACATCATTCTCATCTTGTTTTTTTCAGAGGAATTTTTCCCATTTCTTTAACCACTTCAAAGGTACCCAATTTCTTACTTACATAACTAGCATAATGTGAAAATTCCTTCCTGCTTGAATTCCCACTAATGCTTTAGGGGGGGTGTAACAACAAAAAAATGTACGCTTGAAGTGTTTGGAACATTTGCACCATGCTGTGACCTGCAGTTCATCTCCCAAATATGAGCATGTATGGCTAATCAAATCCTGTTGGCTTCATCCCTCTGGAATGCGGTGGTGGTCCTCTGACCTCCTCGCTCGCTCCTGCCACATTCCGGCGGTGACCTCCAGCTTTTTGGTGCAAACATGTGGCCACGTAAGCTCAAAGCGCACGAAGAGATCATCAAAGAAAATACTGTAAATACCACTATTGTCCTTTGAATGAGAGTTGCAGGGGGGTCGTCTCCCAAAATGGAGAAACAGCAAACTGACTCAACACTCGTCAACTGCCGTTAATGCGTTTCTCATGGCGAGGGCGGAAAGGGAGCCGAATGCCTTTGGTTAGTCCCACTTATTTATTTTGTCCCTGGAAACTAGCGAATACCAAGAAAAGCCTTTTCAACAAAAGGGCGGCCGCGAGTTTGATTGCAAACACGGACTGTTTTCGGTCTGCGGCTGCCACTTCCTCCGTCGGCGTGTTGGGCTTGTGGGGCGGGGGTAAGTGATGAAAAACAAGAACACAATAAGTGATACATTTACCTCGAAAAGCTGTGGGTCCTCATTCCGCAGTGGACGCTGATGCCGGTTAGTTGTCTCTCGCCCACCTGGGCGATGGGTGAGTGGTCGGCGGTGGTGGTGGCGACCCCGAATCCCTGGGTGTGGGTGGCTGTCCTCTGAAAAGGCTTCCTCTACTGCGGGGCTGCCTAAATTCCAATCCTCGAGAGCCCCTGTCCAGCCTGTTTTAGATGTGGCCATCCTGGTCATTTCAATCAGGTGTGTTGGAGGAAGGACACATCCAAAACAAGCTGGACAGGGGCTCTTGAGGACCGGACTTTGGTACCGATGCCTTACTGTATGAGTGACAGGCACTGCATGGCCCAGGACTCCTGTCCTGTTCCATTCTATCTTGTCTTGTCCTGTCCCACCCTGTCATGTCTTTGGAGAGATTGTTTGTTCCAGAACACATCCAACACAGGTGCATTAGGTCGGTTACATCATTTTATTGTGAAATAAATTTATTGTGAAGTAAGTTTTTGTTCCTTTTACCTTGTTACTTCTTGTCTCTTTGTCAAGCCCATCCCAACCCTTGTTCTGTCTGCCCGCATTTCCATTCAAAATCCATCTCAATACAAATACTTGTATATCAAGTTATCCAGACTAAAACTGAAAAGGGTCTTGTGGTTTTGATTCGCTCATGATATTTACTACTGGAGTAAGTCGTGATTGGAAGCACATGCTTGCATGCTCACCAAGGAATAAATATGTACATGTAGAGCCAGACTCAACGTTGTCGCACTGCCAGGAACTACTTATGCGATTTCTGTTCTGAAAGTCACTACACTTGCTTTGCCCCACAGGGCTGATTCCAGGACTACTGTATGTTCCTTTTTCAAGAGTTAAAAAAGGGTGTCACGTGTCAAAGGTACAAAAACAGAACATTTGAAGCTGCCCTGGGGATAAGGGCGTACTTTTCTGTACTTTTGAAGATATAGTTATATAGTTGGAGTCAATTTTTGCTACAAGGTACAGGTGTCAAATGTCAAGCGCACTAAAGTGGAACCAATCAGACGACCAGTCCAGGGACAAGGATGTCGTTTTTCAAGAGTCTACGTTCAGGAGGAGACAATTGTCACCATGTCTTAAAAGGCGTGTCAGAAAAATTCAAGGACTGGAGTCCCTGAAAGATATATTGCAAATCCAAACTACAACTTTTACCCTTTGAAATATTCTTTGTGGAGTCTAACGCACTTTCCCAGCCTTCTCCATGCCTTCTTGCGCTCCTTGAAGAATTCTTCCAAGATCCTCCATCGCTCCATCTTGCTGTCGTCCACATCTTAAAAAGGGCTTCCTGTGAGCTTGGGAAAAGAGGAGAAAAATCAAAATTACATGGGGTCAGGTTGTATGAGTAGGTAGGCTGCTTATTTTCAGCCAGGAACTGTCAGATGTTCAGCACATTTGAGCAGGCGCAATGTCATGGTGAAACAGCCACAAGTTGACCAGCTACGATTTTTGCCTCTTCTCGCGCACAGAATGACGCGGGATCTCTTTGTGTAGCTTCGTAACATAAGTTCTGGAACCTTTCTGACACACCTCATACGTGCATGTGGGAACGTAGATCATCAGATAAAAGCGACACTAACGTATCTCGGAAATTCTTGGACTGGACTGGAACTGCTATCACGCATTGTTGACCTCTTACACAAGACGCTCCGCAGATGTTTATGATGAATGAACTCGGTGCACTGTGGCACATGCTAACGTGCAACCCCCCCCCCCCCCCCCCCCCCCCCCCCCTGCGCGGTCATCACTTCCTGGCCAAAATAGCAGAGTACAAACAATGGCTGAGGTCAGGCAGGTTGCGCGCAAGTATGTTATCGCCGCAATGGCGAAAGAGGCGCTTCCGTTTGTACGCTCGGCCCAGGTCAACAGCTTTAACCTTCCCAACAAACCCCTGGGTGACATCTGCGTCCTAAAAAGCAGCAGTTTTGGACCATTTTTAGGGGGAGATGCTGTCCTTCAAGCGTATTATTTTCAGTACCCTTTGGAGGAACGTGTGTTTTTCATTAGTGTTCCAGGTGAAGTACACATGAGAATACACGTTTTGTTTAGATCACATCAAACACAAGCACTGCAATGGATCATTCCATTAGGCATTGTTTGAAAGTGACACGGCATCAAAGTACAAGTGCGCAACAGCTGCGGGGCACAAGCACTTAGGTCACGTTTCAGTGTTGATTTCTGTCGTTCCGATATGTTTGATGGAGCAAATTGGGCTTGAAAAGATACATTGGGACCTTTTTTTTTTTTTTTTTTTTTTTTTTTTTTTTTTTTAAAAAATTTGCCTTTGGCAAATAAAAAAAGGACAGATCAAAAGACAAGTGGTACAATTGGGTGACATCATCCTTTGAAATAACTGTTGCGTCAAAAAGAAATAAAAATAAGGCCTATTTTTTTTTAACGTTTTGGCATGCACTTTTTTTAAAGGTTTATTGTCTTTAAATTAAAATTTGAAGTACAAACCGAAAAAAAAAATTATTTTCGTAAATTGTATAAAAAGTATAAAAACGTATAAATACAGTATATATATACTAAATGAAAATGTTTCCGTAGTGAAAACATTTTTAAAGTATATACTTTTGAGTAACATTTTAATGAAAAATTCTGAACAAAATAAATTACACTGAGTTTAGTTGCGTGTACTGCCACCATACAGAAGTCGTATCTCAAATATTTGCTCCCACGGAAGAAAAAAAAAAAAAGCCGAATGACAGCTCACATTTCCAAATCTCTGACGTGAAGGCAACAAAGTCAAAGGAAATTATACAAAAGGTGAAACAAAATGGTGTGTCTGGGCTCTATGTTCTCTAAAAAAAAATGTAAGTCACAACCCAAATAGCAATTAAACAAAATGCCTTTTTCTTAGGAATGTTTTTCTCACAATGTTTGGGTGCTCCAGCATCTCTGTTATCATGAAAGAAGAATCCACTCATAGCTTATTAAGAGGAAAGCCAACATTCCTTCAAGATGCTCTTCAGTCTCACTAAAGTGCACTTTGCTGTTTGCTTGAGATAAGGCAGACCAATAATAAGCTTTGAGAAGTGTAAACACGGCAGGAATTGCGGGGACGCTTATGCAAGCGGCTCCTCATTCCTGCTTGTGTGATGACACCCTGGGAAATATCAAATTAAATTAAGTTCCGAGAAAAAAAAAAGGAATATAAATAAAGAGCTCTATTATTACTCGGGGTGGTTGTGGCTAAAACCATAGCCCCCTCTTTGATCCTCCGTCCAGCCCCGTACTACAGCGTACACGACAGAGGACATGATGTTCCTCATCATGAACGTTTTACAGCGTAGGCCTCCCAGAGGGGCAGAAAGACAACATGCTACTGTTTATAGGACATTTCAGGATGGGGCTATTTTTCTTTCCTAACTTTCCAGGGGGTGCTGAAGGGTGTGTCGTGTTGGGGACGCTTAAAATACATTATCTCCATGCTACACACTTATAAAAATCTTTAACGAAAGTCTACTAGCTTAATGCTCACATTCGATGCAAAATGCCAAGATGGGCTAACGGAACTAGCGTAGATGTTGCTGTACTTTATAATACTTTAAACACCTTACGTTTGAACACAGAAATCATATTACTTATATATATTCTGTATCCTATTTGTGGGGACAAAATTTAAAAAAAAAAAAAAAAAAACAGCAACTAGTATTACTGCAGTTTGGTTGCATAGTCTTCTGTCTCATCATCAAATCTACTCTAAATGGCTGTGTGATACTTCTCCCTGGTGGCCAAGGCGCACACACCAGACAGACAAATACTGATGCAGTTTAATTTACTATTCATTTAAATATAACTCTAAATAAAGTTGAAGAGAAAAAAAGGTGCGAACGAATTATTTGCATTCCCATTCAATTCAGTGGGGAAGCATGATTTGAGAATGTTTTCAGTTACAATGAATCACACAAGTGACACCACGTTACGCAGCCACCCACATCGTTCATGTTAAACTTAAGTGTCTCTATAAATACAAAATATAAAAACATCAAACTATTCACTTCGTTTGCCAGGAGCAACAAAATGGATCCTTTTGTTTAGAAGCTTAAAAAACAACAGTAAGTAATTCAAGCCTTAGACGGCTGCACTGAGTAAGTCTTATCTGCAGTCAGAATTTGAAAAAAGGTTTAATAACACGAAAACTTATTTTAAAAAAGTCATGTCATGTTGCCACGTATAAAGCTTCTTCAGTCCTTATGATTTCATTAACTCATTCATCATTTTGAGCGAATCAAGTATATTCCAGCTGATCAACAGCGACACCGAGAGGCGAGTTAGTGAGTTGTTTTTAAGAGCTGTATGCCTTTTACTACTACAATGAGAAAGGGGGAATTGGGAATAACTAACGACCTCGAATTTTCATTTTGTTAAAAAAAAAAAAAAAATTACATACACACACTTTTTTTAAATCGTTCAATTTTAAATACCTCACCTCTCACCAAAGGCATTCGAAATACAAATGTGTACCTCTTTATGGCAAACAAAAAAATACAATGCATATCAATCTGAGGAATAATTCATCATATCTTCATAACATTTGTATTTTATTCATGTGGTTTAGTTTTTTTTGGTGATGTTATTACATGACTTGTCACATTCTTTTATGAATGCTGCCAAAAAAAAAATCATTTGTTTGTGCAACCATACATGAATGAGTGTAATCACTTCAATCTCAGTTTGATACAGTATAGTGCGCTGCAAAAATAACCAACCAACCAAAAGCAACTCTTCCCACTTTTATTGAGAACACATCATCTGCCGTTCAACACACAAAACAGCATGAGGTGCCAACAAAGATTGTGGCGAACATCTATAGACATGACACTTTTTTTTTTTCTCAAACCATCTGCCTATTTCTGGACCTTCAAGGCTGACCAGTGCGCACTTCTAACCATTTACCACAGCACTCGCATAAATAATATTCATCTACGTCAAACATGACACACAGACATGACAGAGGATGCTACGTGACCAAACGGGGATTCCGGATGTCGTTTCCAAAGGGGGCGAGAAGTTTAAAGAAGACATATTCCGGAGAATGAACTTTTCACGGTGTTGAATACAAATAATTAGGGGTCTTTGGTGCCTGCCCTCCCATCAAGTATGAAATGAAACAACCAAATAAATCTTGGGTTATAAGTGTTTTTGCGAAAATGTGTCGAGCGAGCCGCTCCAACGTGGAAAGCACTACCACGTCAAAGTCCAAAGGTAAGCAGAGCTGCGGTAGTAAGTGTTATCAGTGGACAAACGATACAGTTCGTACTCAACTGTCCGGGTTAATTACTTAATGATAATTAATTAGTCTCAGTGTACAAGTCAGTGGTGACTTTATGCAAGTTCCATTCAGCTACAGTCTGGACGGGCTGCGGTGAACGTTTCCAGAATCTGGAGGGACTCTCAAGGTCTCCAATAACACCACAAAACCTTTCTAGATGAGCTGCTATTTGCAAAAGTCACAGAATAAAGCAATAAAGCTGTTCAGTGAGCAACACTGAATAGCCCTAGTGTAGTCCCCAGTCGTCGGGGTAACAAAATCTGATCAGAATGCGACAAGTGGATTTTAGGTGTACTATCATTCTTCTTTCCTTTGTGCATTTTGACTGAAGAATTTTAGAGACCTGGGAATTGTTTTAAATGGTGGGAAGAAAATGCATCTGACTCGTTTTATCAAACAACAACATAAACGCACGTACACAGAGTGGGGGTTGGAGGGGGGTGATCTCAGTCTTCAAACTTTCCATCCAGGATGCTTTCGAAGGTGAACGGGAGGAACTTGAAGCCCTGACCTGAGTAAAACTTGTTCTGGAACTCCACCCTGTGTACACACACACACACACATAAACAAGCTCACAAGGAGGGAGGTGTTTACAGGAATGCTGGGCAAAGCATGTCGCTCACAACCCTTGCTCTCCATTCCATGGGGCCCCCTCACCACGGTAGTCGGATGCAAGACTTGGACCAGCACTCGAGAATGCGAAGCCTACTTCCTGTCTGGAACGTAATAAGGCTCTATTTTTAAGGAAAATTGCTAAGTGAAGGAGCGGACCCTTCATATGAAGCAGCAGAGTGGAAGGGGCGCATGAGGGTGGTTCCTTCATGTTAAAAAAGTTGTTAAAAGTTCACAAATAGACTTTTGATCAAAAACAACCATGAAGCCAGTCAACTTAAGGTCTATATTCTTTAATAAATTCATGTTAAAAAATGTTTTAAATTTGTTTGAAGGATCATATTCTTTTAGAATTTTTAAGTTAAAAATAAAACATGAAAAAAAATATTTAAAATGACTGTTACTGTGGTTTATTTACTTTTAAATTCTGTTAAATATAAAATATATGATTTTCCTGTTTTTATTAGTTTTATTAGTCAACAAATCGATCTAAAAGGATTTATTTATTGCATATTTTTTGAATTATTAAAAAAAAATATCAACCGAAAAAAATGCCTTTTTTAGGTTTGCATTCTTAAATATATACAAATATCTCTAAGTGAACATAAAATGAATTATGCTTTTATAGGTTTGTTTTTGGCAATTTTTTTTCAAATGAATAGTACAATTACACTGAAAAATATTTTTAAAACATGTCAATTTATATATATATATATATATATATATATATATATAATACAATCTTTCCACAAATAGAGCCTATAAAAGGTAGCAACTTGAATGACATCGTCCATGACGCTTACTGCTCACACATTTAAGAGCCCCATTTGAATTTCTTTGCTCACCAAGCATCTCAATTGAGTAAATAAAAACCCTATGACGAGAATGATGCAGTGCGGTGTTTACCAGTGCAGTCGCAGCGCGTGCAAGAAAGCAGACAGGCCCTCCATGATGAGCAGGATCGCCACCGTGAGCACGGCAAAGAAATAAAAGACGATGGCCAGCACGAAGAAGCCAGCCACGCCGCGTGTGGAGAGGCCGATGTGCATGACCATGGACCACAGAACCTCTGACAACTCTGTATCGTAAAGCAGACGGCATTTTGTCCATCAGCGGGAACGTTGTGTTTTTGCAGTCAAACTGGATTTCTTATGTAGTTCAATTCCATTTTTTTCCCATTAATAGATCATTAAAAAATGGAAACAGTTGTCGAAGATCCACATTGAAGGCTAACAGACTTTGGGATTTTTAAAATGTAATCAAATTTAAAAAATATATATATCTGCATCCAATTGAGCTAAACCAACGCATTCACAACTTACGTGCGTGAGCCAGACTGAGAGCCCAAAGCCTGAGGTAGGAGGCCGTGTTGGAGATGCAACCCAGGCAATATTCGATGGTGTGTATCGCCTGATGCACGGCAACATCTGCAAAGTTAAACTGAGGGATAATAGACACGTCGGTCAGTCTGGTGGACGACAGGACACCCCCCTGAGATCAGTCAGACATTCTGTGGATAGGACAGCCATTAACCAAGCGTGAACCCACAGGCAGCAATGTTCCCAACACATACACCAGCGCAACACAAGGGGGCGACAAAGATAAGGAAGCGAGACTGCGATGAAAGTGCACTCAGCAAGGACAAGTGGCAGGCTTTCAGGTCCTACCTCTTCCTCCTCGCGGGCCTTGAAAGCAGATGACAGAAGGCAACGCTTGATTATTGCCCACATACGCACACACATACACATCAAACAGGCATGGAAGAAATGGGTTACACACTCGAATAGTGAAGAATCAGGTTCAAAAAAAAAAGTCAATCTAGAATGATTTCTAATACAGTCAAACCTTTATGGCCAAACACATTCACTGGCTTACCTTAGATTTTTTCAGATTTTGAAACAACGTTTCTAATATGAAATCACAGATGTTACAAAAATTCGGCTCCGGTGTCAAACTGTCACACTCAGAAAACCTGGATGTGCATTGGCAATGTTTTAATGAACGTCTTAAGATAAGATAAGATAAGCCTTTATTTGTCCCGCAATGGGGAAATTTACAGTCAGAGTTCAGAAAGGAAACCACAAGGTAGGGAGAGGGAACATCCTTTGTTGCCATGCAAATGTAAAATGAACCAAAAGACCTCATTAAACCTTAATGGGGACAGTACGACGCAAAAGGGCACACATCTCAACTTGATGACAACAATGTCATGGTTTTCCTCTTCATTTGACATGCTTTGTTGTCTGTCCTTGTTTTAGGATAAGTGATAAGGGGGGACTATAGCAAAGAAAAAGCAAAACACACCGAAGGAAACCGGAGTACTTGTCATTTGACCTCAGAAATTCCACTGTATTTGAACACAATTACCAGTAACAAGAGAGCCTTAATACAAAATGGATGTTTGCAATGGAAACATGCGGGTTCCCGCTTACAAATAATTCATTCAAAGGCCAAGACAGTCTCACCTCAGGCTCTTCTTCGGAGTGTTGCGACAGCTGGTCGTGCTGGATGATTTCCGCCTCGTCCTCAGTGGGACCGTTGCCCACCCGGATGCCCCCATAATTCTGTGTGCCCTGCGGGGCAACACAGGAGGTTTGAGCAGGATGACCGGGGGGCCCTCAGCTCACGACTGACAAACGATGTTCTAAGATGATGAGCGCACAGTGCTCGAGTTCAGGGATGGGCCACTCCGGTCTTGGAGGGTCGCTATCCTGCATGTTTTATATGTTTCCCTCCTCCAACACGCCTGATTCAAATGATCAGGATGAACAACAAGGCACTCTATATTTATGGCCTGCACAAACTTGTATTGTAATTATGACTCTCTCCGCCGCTGGCATAGATTAGAAACAGACTCCAAAACAATCGGATGTTCAGATTTGGGTTTGTGTCACCATGTTGGAACGAAACTCGGTGATCAACCGAAGAAGCCTGCAAGTGGTAACCGAGTGTGAACAACAGCCGGGTCTAAATGCACCCTACCAGGTTTTTACGCCACAGATATTGTCTCCGCAGGACCAGAGTTTTCACTATCAACATGCAAGGGACACATGCCACGGCGATGAGCACCAGGAGGGTCTGCAGAGCTTGCTGTGACAAGAAACAAATGAAGGACCCATGAGGTCAATTTTACACTCAACTGCCGATCATTTTACTGACAAGAGGTGCTCCTGACCTGTCCCGTGTAGAGAGGCTTGACGGTAGGATCGCTGTAGTTGAAGAGGAACATGTTGATGAAAGCGATCAGGAGACTGGGAGCGTCGCGCGACAGCCGCACGTCGTACGAGAGCCACTTGTAGAAGATGAGCAGCACAAGGTAGCCGAAGAGGCTTGCCATGAAGACGATCTCGGGGATGAATCCCAAGTAGATGTTCAACGGCTTCTTGAAATAACTTACAGGAGAAGGAAGAAGAGAGTTGACAACTTGAAGAGAAGGACCAAGAATGAGATGTTGAGGTGAGAAACACTCACAGGTGGTTGAAGAGACTGAGAGTGACACCAAATAGCATGTGGATGACACCCAGGATGATGGACATCTTCATTTTGAAGGAGTTTAAGAAGGTCAGCTTGTTCGTTGCAATATTCCAGATCTGATGGATAAGACGTCGTTTGGCAGTTATCAGCATATTTTAACAATGAAGTCAGAATATTTGGAACTGCATTACAAATATATACATATTCACTTAATTTTTTTTTTTTTTTCATCCTATCACCCGCATGTTTTTGGGCGCGTCAATTATGGATTTTCACTCCTTGCATTGGAGCTCACACCTCCACGAATAGCAGTGGACCAGTGCACAGCAACTCAATCAATCATTTATTTATTGAGAAATAAAATAAAGATAAAATGACCCTACCTGACACTAAAAGTATTTTGGGGCCCTTTATATTCAAAATTTGGTGGCTCGGTGGGTTGGATTCAAGAATAGAGTGAGGTCACACCTGCGCTATAAACTGGTGATTCTTGAACTGGTGAACTTTGGAAAAAAATTGGGCAACTGTACACTTTCAAGTTTGAGACAAGCCAAAATCTTGTTGAAAATCTTCCCAGACGTGTGGAAGCTGCTCTCAATGCATTTTTTTTTTTTTTTGCTTTCCCAGTGGGTACAATACAAGATGTCCCGATAGTTTTGCTCACAAATCATCAAAGCAGAAAAATTACCGGATCAATGCCTATCGGGTACGGCCCTTTGAAAACGCCGTCTACCGCTGGGTCTAACTGCAAAACTTTGTTGCCCTCAAGTGTTGCAGTCCTGAAAACAAAAGAAGTCATTGTAAAAAATATACATACAAGCCAAATTTTCTCACCGCACCATGCCACTTACGTCCAGTTGCCTCCCACACGGGCGTCAAACATGGGCCGCACGCTCCAGCCAGAGCCAAAGACGTTGAGTGACTTGGAAAAGCAGTCGTTGTAGATGATGCCCGTGTAGATGGAGAAGATGCCCATCAGCAGGATGATGTAGCGCCCAGCGAAGACCATACTGAACATCTGACACAAGACAGGCATCTTAAAAAAATCAATCCATAAAAATAACGATCTCTTCCCGCGGCTCGGCTCGGTCAGAAGCGGCGTTGCGTGTCGGCATGAACGTGATGGGATGGATGATGGAACACGGGGGCGGATACCTCGTTGTCGTTCTTCTGGGCGATCAGCCGGCTCTCTCGCAAGACCAGGTACAGAGCAGCACAGGTCATGAGCACACCGTGGCCCAGGTCGCCAAACATGACAGCGAACAGGAAGGGGAAGGTGATGATGGTGTATGGAGCTGGAGTGGTTGTACACCAGATGTCGGGGAGGAGATATCGTGGATGACGGGACAGGCAACTCAGGGTGTGACAGCATAAAAGTCCAAGACGCAGGCATACCTGGATTGATCTCACGGTAGCTGCCGATTCCGTAGGCGTCCACAATGTTTTGAAACCCGGAGGTGAGCTTGTTTGTCTTGTTGTAGGTGGGCGGGGTCTGTTTGGTCTGCATCCTGTTCAGGATGGAAGGCACCGTGGAGCCGCTCTTCTCCTGAATGAGAAACGTTTTGTCATCGTTGCCGGATCGTGCAGGGGGACTAATTCTCGGTTGCCAACTCGTGCGAATCTGTCCGGCCACTCACCGTGCCCCTGCGCAGTGCGAACTGTATGGAGTCCAAGTCAGAGACGGGACACCACACCTCGGCGATGAGACACTTCTGGGTGACGTCGATGTTGCACAGGTTGAGTGTGTGGTAGATGGCTTTCATCTTCCTGACCTTGATGAACCACACGCGCACCGCCTTGGCCGCGGCCTGCAGAACCCGCTGTCTGTGGTCCTCCGTTTGGTTCAGCACCTTGAGCCAGGGTAGAGAGGGGGGAATGCGCACTTACTGTGTGATGATGTATTACTGTGTATGTGAGGCGTTAAAGGAATTACCATTTGCAGGTCGTCGATACGAGCGTTCACCCCTGCGAGCATCTCTTTCCTCTCCTGAGGTGTTTCCGGACACGGGTACAATGTTGCTCGAAAGCTGGTAGAGAGGTACACATGAGCAAAAATCCACAAAGTAAATATCAGCGCGGCTTTGGTTACACACCCCTCACAAATCTTCTTCACTCTGTTTTTCAGCTGGTCTCCCTGGAAGAAGATGATGAAGACAGACTTGTGGACCTGATCGCCCTGTGGACACATGAAACACGAAGTGCATCAGGGTTACTGGCATTTTTCAAAATGGACATACTGTAAAATTGATGCTTCAACTGCTTGCATACAAATACTTTGTTCTGCTTGGAGTCAGATGCCCATCCAGTGTGAAATTAAACAACCCAAGTCAATCGGTTATGCCTCGCCCTGTTCCAAAGTTCTTCTGTGAACAAGCTATGCCGAATTTGATCACTTTTGTTGTAATCTGTCTGCTGCATGCAGCGCATGCATGGATCCATACACTGGAAGACGACTCAAATTCAGTGGCTTGGTGAACAATTGAAAACAACACTGACTTAGCTGTGGCTCGCTTTTCTTTCGAGACTCCGAGCTGCCCTCAAGATAGGCTAAAATAGAGGCTGAAAAGTATTCTAGAAATCTTGATCATTGCGATATTTTTGACTAAATCTTGATCTGCCAATGAGACGGCATGTTTGAAACCATGAATATGTCCCCACGAAACTGCAGGCTGACCGAAGTTGGGTCCTCCAGAGGGTCTTCAATATTCGCCTGCCTCAGGAACACATTCCCTCTGCAAACTCTCCACAGCATCCTCTCAAATGTGGGGATGCGCTCCCTTCCAATGACTCCAGCAACAAATCTGTAAAACAGACAAAGTTACCGGTTATATGTGAACACTTGGTGAAATAAAAGCTTGAATTCAAGGACAACGATAAAGCAACTAACAGTAGGTCTTACCCAAGCCTGAGCGGCGCCCCCCGGTTGACCTCGTTGGGGTCCAGCAAGGTGGATGATTCCTCCAACAGTGTGGGGTCTTCCATCTGCGTTCACAAAAAACAACAACAAAATGACAGGGATGAACAGGAGCAGAGAAGGTTAAGAGCTGAACGGCAGCCTGTCCGGCTAAATTATTAACCTCCATTACGGCTCATTTGAACTCATTAAAGATGACTCGACACACGCGGACAGGACAGCAATGTTTGTGGAGGCACTCGAGCGGCACTGAAGTCAGAGCAAAGGTGCGGAAAAACAAGACACTCGGCTCCAATTGAGACGCCAAGTATGAAAAAATATGTCACATCCTGTTTTGGCCTCTGTGTGTGTGTGTGTGTGTGTGTGTGTGTGTGTGTGTGTGTGTGTGTGTGTGTGTGTGTGTGTGTGTGTGTGTGTGTGTGTGTGTGTGTGTTATATAGCTGACCTCATCAAAAAACTGCTGTGTGCGGCGCAAAATGTGCTTGAGCTCGGTCAGCTCCAGGAAGTTCTTCTTCAGGGCTTCCTGGTTAGTGTTGATTTCCTTCAGTTCATTCTCCAGCTTCTCAAATGAGGCCTAACAGAGAGAAGAAGGGAGCGAAGTGAATAACGCCGCTCCCCAGGCGTGACGGCCGGAGGGAAACCACGGCGCTTGTAACACTCTCTTCCCCCTCACCTCCAAGTCGATCATGTCTCTCGGGAAGGGGACTTCGGGGTTTTCACCGGTGTCAACGATCGGGATGTTGGCTTTCTTGATCTCCTTCTCCACAAACCCTGCCAATGAGACGGCATTGTTTTTTCTTTCCTGTCGGAAACTCCACCAACACAATCAACTCCGAGCATCAGTAACAGGCCACCACATCCTAAATATACATTATATTCTGATTCATTCTCATAAAATCTGGATCCCTATATGATTGTTTTTTTTTTGTGGTATGTTTTTTTTTTTTTCTCCTTAGTATATTGTATGAAAATGCAAAAACGATTTTTTTACCACACAAAATATTGTAAGAAGAAATATATTTATAGGAACCAGGTAATATATCGGAATAGTTCCATTGACAAGGACTTACTCAATTTTCGGTCCATTTCCTCACATCGCCGCACTTCATTGACAAACTTGCGTTGGAAGACGTTGACATCAGGATTCAATATTGTATGAAAATGCAAAAACGATTTTTTTACCACACAAAATATTGTAAGAAGAAATATATTTATAGGAACCAGGTAATATATCGGAATAGTTCCATTGACAAGGACTTACTCAATTTTCGGTCCATTTCCTCACATCGCCGCACTTCATTGACAAACTTGCGTTGGAAGACGTTGACATCAGGATTCAACTGTGAGACAAGAGACAATAAATGCATTTTGCTGAATCATACCTCCTCAAAATTACAGCTCCACAACAAATACAGACCCCTGTTTTGCAGGCCAATCCATGCCTTACTCCAAATAAATGCCATACAGTTAAGTAAATAGGCAACCAGTATTTGACCCCATGGCTTTTTTTTTTCTCTCTCTTTTTTTTTTTTATGCATCTCCAGTACAAAACTTCCCTTTGGGATAGTCGGGAGTGGGTGTTCTCGTGAGGAATAAAGCATCAGCTGTGAGCACATGATTGAGATGCTGCGGTGAGCAATGCACGCATTCTCGGCTAGGTTCCTGAACCCCACCTACATCACGGCCATTTTGAAAACACCGGCAGAAAATCCACATCAGAATCGGCGACTCACATCACGGAACTGCACCATCCCAATCTCTCCCAGCTCACTGACACTGCAGTAGGCTGCCTCTGACTGCAGGAAGAGCTGTGCCAGCGTCATCTCCTCACTCCTGAAGAGTTCCCCCATCTTCGCGGCGGGTTTGCGGGTGCCCCGGCTCGCCCTCCAGGAAGGAATCACCTAGAAGAAATCACGCCAATGACCTTTACATTGAAACTATTTGCAATTCACTATTCACAAGATTTGTTTCCCAGTGTGCTCACTTTCTTTTAGGTTACGGACTAGATTGTTGTTACACCTCTTCAAGTGAGGGCAACTTCCCAAGATGGTGCAAATTCCCCATGAAAATGTCAATGATTGACTTCCATTTTTGCCCCTATGTCACCTGGCGCGCCACACATCAGGCCATATTCCCCCCTTTGTGCAAGTCTATTTTTGTTTATTTTATTTTACAAAATGACTCCGGGCCCATGAACAAATACTTGCTTCGTGGCTCTTTCCCTCTTTGAGAAGCTGTCTTGAGTAGCACTGCAGTGTGACATTCACAAATAATGGAGACTAATAAACATCAGATATGTGTGCACTTTGGCAGTAGCGTGGGAGAGGCTGCAATGTGACGAGAGAAAAGAAAATCCGGTTGTCTTCACGCTGATCCCATGATCAGGGCAGGAATGCGGTTACGCTGGCAAATACTTAATAGTACAATGCAAACAGAAATGACCCAAAGTGTGTGCCGGTGTGGATTGACAGCTTAGACTAAACCAGGAACAATTTAGGGACAATTTATGTGATGGCAGAGGAGGATGAAAAGGAGTGATTCCTTAGTTCATTGAGGCACTTCAACCACATCGTATTGGAAGAAAAGGACCACACTAGGCTTATCTGTGGATTATGAAGGGAACATGTGACCTGTAGCTCCTTACTACTCTCCCAATTTAAGCACAAAATTCAACGAAGTCTATTGTTTTAATACTCAACACTAACAAACGGTAGTTTGGTCCTTAGCAGCGTCAACATTCTCACATTATGACACAATAAACATTGCAAAATGAAACGAGCGAGCTTCTCGGCTAACTTTATTGACTTTTTATATAGCACGTTTGTACTGTTTTCAATCCCAAATAGCATGTAGTTTTACCGTCCCGAACATAACATAGAAGTAATCAGTCAGTAAAATAGCAACTAAACGTTCTGCGCCACTGGTCGGCTAATTAGCGTCGTTGAGATCGCCTCATTAAATGATCAGTTTACAGTGTGGCTAATGGCTAACTTTGCGCACCTGTTGCAGATTGTCAAAAACCCAATGTTGTTCAGGTTGAAGATCAATAATCAACTGCTGGTTTTATTAAGTAGCGTACTTACTACTGAGATGGAAATACCAGCGACTTGGCCGCGTTCCTTTTTCCTAGTTGTGACGTTTGTTGTGGAAGACTTGGGCGACGAGCGAGTGAAATTGTCGACATCCTAAAGCGGAAGTGGTTCGCCGATCACGTGATGTGATTTGCCACAAAACTATGAAGTGATAAAAATGAAAGCATAATAATAATAATAATAATGATAATTATTTGAAAATAGACTTCAGTTAAACATTACAGGGGAATGCCGTCACCTTTTATAAAATGTTTAATTTTCTTTGAACATACCGGAAATGAAGAATATGCTATGCTGTGCTGTAAAGTTGTAAAGTTACCATGACTTAATTTTCTGATTCTGACTTAATTAATATTATTTTGTTGATGGGTAAATACCATATACATTGTGTCAAAATCGAGAACTAGTAAGCTCTCCCTGCTCTGGATTTATGACTGACTTTAAAATGTTTTACTTATGCCTGAAAAAAAATGGAAAAAAAGCAATTATGCGAGGAAAATATGTACAGACATTGCTAAATATTTTTTGTTTGGATTTTTATTCTTTATGTATGCTCATATTGGTTTCTTTTCATGGAAATATAATTTTTAAATTTCTGAATCCCCTTTGTTGATTGGTTTATTTTTTTATATACCAGTATACTTATTTTAGTTACATATTGTAACCAAATTTATATTATCCTCTGGAGATGTTTGTATTTTCAATGTTCCAAAAGTTATTAAAAAAAGTTGCAAAGTTATGACCACATGAGGGCTGTGCTTGATGCGTTGTCTTTTTTATATCAATTTTAAATATAAATACGATAGAAAATGGAAATGTTGGGGTCATTTATTGCTTTAACAGACAGTCAGCACTCAGCAGAATTCATGAATGCTTTCCGTTAAAAGACAATCAGCACTAAGCAGAAATCATTGACGCTTTTTGTGAAAAGTAGTTTTTATAGCAGTGTATTAAAGTTAGATCGCGTGGGGTTTACCCTCTCGTTTTCAACACTTATTCTAATCAACGTTCCACCATCATCATGACCGAGATTCAAATACAGTAGTGTAGTAGGCCTAATAGCGATAGGTATTTGGCATTGACTCAAGATTACCCACCAACCTGATTAGGAGAAGTGGTATAGAAAATCTATGGATGTAATTTAGAATAAAAATTGCACTTGTTACACTCAACATATGTGAATATGGGCACGACTTGTTTCTAGGGCAGCATATTGCCTCTTGACTTCACGTACTGTATTACGTCCCCACAGTTGGGGACCAAGATTCCCATGCACCAAGTGGCAATGGAGAAGGCGGAGTTCTGCCAGTAGGGGTCGGTGGGGCGGGAAAATTCTGACTGGGTGGTTTCACATGGAACGGAGGCATTTGAGTGGAGCCACACATGCCTGAGCGGTGAGAGGCCCAACTCCCCTTGGCTGGCTGGCATCCCAGAGGCACAGGCACAGAGGGTTTAGTGAGCAGGAAGACAAGCAAAGTTCAGAAGGCGTAAAGGGGATCCCGGTGATTCTTTTTCAAAGGGGGTATTTTTGTCTGTAGAGGTAGTGTGAGCCATTTGTTTTTGTAGCTGACAACCATGGCGGATACAGGGGTCCAGAAAGAGCACACAGCTCTGTCAGAGGTGCCCTGTGACGATGACGACGTTGCCCTGGTAAGCGCCGCCGCAGAGCCAGCGATGGACGGCGGCACCCCTGTCGAGGATGGCAAGAGCGAAGCTCAGATGAACGGCGTCATGGTCCTGGCCCTGCTTGACAAGATCATCGGCATGGTGGACCAGATCCAGCAGACACAGACGGGGCTGGAAGGGCGGCAGGAGACCATGGAGAAGTCGGTGTCCACCATCCAGGGGGAGATTTCCAAGCTGTCCAAGAACCATCTGGGCACGTCCACCACAGTCACGAAGATGCTGGACAAGGTTCGCAAAGTCAGCGTCAACGTCAAGTCGGTGCGCAGCAACCTGGAGAAGCAGGCGGGCCAGATTAAGAAGCTAGAGAGCAACGAGAGTGAGCTGCTCAAGAGGCGCAACTTCAAAGTCCTCATCTACCAGGTGAGCAGGGGAAAGGAACCTGTTGGCCATATACATAGAGTATAGAAAAACAGCAGAGACAACAATCCAAATCAAAATCATGACCATATCACCCTAACGTTCTATACTTTGTTCAGCACTTTGTATGCAGCGATGGCTGTTTGAAAGTGCTCTATAAATACAGTTGAGTTGAGTTGAGTTGAGTTTATTTTGCTTCAGTGTTTTCCTGGCAACCCAGCGGCAGAGGTCTTTGCGATCCAACACGGCAGAGAAACACACTTGAAACACTACTCTGTATTAAATAAAAAAGGTATAAGTAAGTATTTGAACTCGATTTTTTTTTTGTTTGTTTATTTTTTAAACCATAACCTAATCTACTGGATATACTCCACACAATTTGCCCCTTACGCAACATTGATTGCATTCAATGTTGCTTGGTGTCGTGTTAAAGCTGCTTTAGGCCACTCCCATTCCACTGGACTTCCATCATTATTAACCAGCTAGATGCTATTAATAATACGTAGATGTAAATAAAATTGTGAGCCTCACAAATGCTGGCCATGGGGAAAGGGTGCAGACGCTTGAGAGAGAACCAGAGAACCTCTGAACATAGATGGCGAGCCGTCGTGGCACAAGATGAAGATGTAGTTTCTACTATTCCAAAAGTCTCCCAGAGCACTCTAGGTTATTTGTACCTGTCGGCAGCTGGATTATTTGGGAAACAAAACTCATAAGATAAAGGCGACGATATGACTTAACGTGCGAGAGGGTCGCAGGGGGTGAAGCGATAAAGTGAACTTGACACTCCCTCCTGGGTGCGCCGTTTTTAGCAGGACATGTTCTCACATCCGACCTGACTGAGGTTTAGTATTCGGCAGCATTGGTCTGCTTAACGAACTTTGTAAGATTTCTCACGCATATGTGAGTTTGTGGTAATCTGTTGAACGGTTTCCCCTCGTCTGGGAATTTTGCAGCAGCAGCGGGGTTGGCTTCACTCGTGGTGTCTGTCAGAAACTCAACCGCAGGCTTTAGGGCTGAATAAATTATACTAAGCAGGTGGCTCTCGTGGTTCACGATCGTCTACGTGGTTAGCGTGTTTTCACAAGAAGTTGGCAGGAAATAGTAAGCCGTACATTTTTAACTGGACTACGCACTGCAGTTAAAAAAAAAAAAAAGTTGAGTAAACTCAAATTTGCAAGGCAGAAAACTTCGATAAAATTTTAAGTTGGGCAAGTCAACAAAATATTTTAAGTTTTGCTGTTGTGAAAATTGGCTTTCCTGCCTTTCACAACAAAGAAATAAGAGTTGACAGAACAGAAATTCATTCATTCATTCATTTTCCGATCCACTTTATCCACACAAGGGTCGCGGAGAGTGCTGGAGCCTATCCCAGCTGTCATTGGGCAGTAGGCGGGGGACACCCTGAACCGGTTGCCATCCAATCACAGGGCACACCGAGACGAACAACCATCCACGCTCACACTCACATCATGTCTTTGGAATGCGGGAGGAAACCGGAGTACCCGGAGAAAACCCACGCAGGCCCGTATGCTAACAAGAACTTTGTTCAACATCGGAGTTGAACATTACAACACGCACAAACATACGATATGTATACAACTGGCTGGTGTGGAAATGTTGGAACAAGATTGATAGCATACAAAATATCCAAGTGTATCCTAAAATCCTTCTTTCTACCCACAATTTTGCTGCTGTAGACTGTAAATTTCCCCAGTGTGGGACAAATAAGGATATGTTATCATATCTTATCTTAGCTTATCTTATCTTATCTTATCTTAATTAAAATACAATGGATGAAAACAAGAATGATGTGGAGTTCCATTGAATAATTATAAACAAAAAAAAAAATTTCAAGAAGGCAAAAAATATATTTTGCTACTATTTACATTGTGGTTTTTAATTCTTACGAAAATTATGTGAGAGACTTTACCCATGTATGTCTTAAAGTTTTTTGGAGTCGTGACCAACATTTTTATTAATCAACACTAATGCTGTTTATCATTGTTTCAACCCGATCCCGTTTTGCTGAGCAGCTGTTGCAAGCGAGCTGCTATCACGCTCTCAGTCGCTATTTTTTCACCCTCCCACTCTGTTCTATTTTTTGCCAGCTGGGATAAGTTGCGTAGTTTTTAATTTGATGGCCTGGTAAGATATTGGCAGGGTATCAACTCTACATTGGCCTCCGTTGGAGTTTTACCACTTTCTTCTTTGTGTGTGTTAATGTGTTACACTGGGACAAGTTTAGACTCTGAATCAGGTTAAGGATGAGATAAGGGTGAGGCACGAGGAGGTTACGGCAGCATGAAATGTCAGTGGAACATGCGTTCATTTTTAAAAGGCCTTTTGTCAAGGTGTGTGGTCGTCGCTGGATAGACAAAGAAAACTATTCTAAAGCACAGACAAGAGAATTAAAATTGGAAATAATTTAATGTAATCATGAGTGCTTCGTTCTTACTATTTTTTATTCTTCACGGCCAGGGGAGTGGGCAGGGCGGCACTGCCTCCGCTGCTTGTCAGGTAGGGAATAGACTGGAGACTGAAAACTGTCCTTCATTCAAATCAAATAACACTCAGTTTTTAGGAAGCACACTTAGAATATGACACTGACTTGTCTAACATCACCAAAAGTTTGTTCCAAGTTTGTTTCACGAGAACACCTGTGTTTTATTTCTAGCTTGGTGACTTTGTGCAAAGTATATTTAATTGTGTGGCTAAAACCAGTCGATGATGTCTTGTTGTCCCTTGGGAACGTGCAACTGGAATCTGGGTGTGTTGCGGCTAATGCCGCCACAGCCCGCCCTCGAGACGCAGCGTGTCTCGCTTCCCGTCTGCTTGTCTTTTAGCCAAGCTCATCAACCTCTCGGGTGTCGCTCAGCGCTACATTTGAGTGTTCCAATCGGTTCCACTTGTTGCAATTGTTTCTTCATACTGCATTTCTCAATCCCCCTCTGAGGCCAGACAACAGTTCATGCACAAACCTCAGCACCAATTGAGCGTCCTGATTCATCTCAATGGCATCTGAAGGCCTTCATCTCAGATGTTCCCCATGTGGAGGTTGGACTTTGAACCCAGAACATTTTCAGCGTCTTCTTCGCACATTACGTCGCTGTCTTCATTCCGTCCGTCTAGGGGCCCATCGTCACAGCATTCAGTGTGACGTTTCTTTCGTGTGAGTGGAAAGCTGCCTGACAGGCTTCCCGTTTCACTCTTGCGTGTCAGCTGGCATGGTCAGTCGTTTCTCACTTCGACCACTTGGTCTTCCAGTCGTTGCCTATTTCCAATTTCATTCACGGGAAAAATTATGCCGCTATATTCCATCCATTCGGTCCATTTTCGGAAGCGCTTACCCATAATGGCGTCGTTGGTGTCCTCAGTACAGAAAGAAAAAAAAGCGATTTAGCACAGTAAACTTGCAAACTCCACAGGGAGAAGGCTGGTGTCAATTTAATTATAACTAACTAACTTGTAAATGGGCGGAGCATACCAAGGATGTACCCATTACAATTAGTTGTGTGTCAGCGTTCAATTTGTGGAAGACGATCTTTATTCCACTTTGTGAAATAATATTTGTTACATTAGTTGCAATTATATTTTACATTGTTCTACGGCATTTTTGTTTCACGAGGAATGACAAGATGTTAATTGAAATTGTCAAACAAACCAAATGTATTTTGAAATAATCAACAATGTTTGTACGTTTGGTTACTTTTTCAACAAATGTGTGATTTGGAATTCATTATTTTCACCTTTGTTTTAGTCATGTAATCTTAACCAGAATGTATTCTCTGAAAAGGATTTTATGTATTGTTTTCGCCCACTTTTTTTTTTTTTTTTTTTTTTTTTTTAAAAAATTTTTTATAATCTTCGATTATAAACCCCA